GTTGCTGCTCGAGGATTTCCGTTTCATTTTGAATGTCGCAGAATCCTGGTCGAGCAATCCTCCTTGAAGTCCTGAGATAACCGGACTAGAGCGTTCCCAATTGGATTGCAGATAGTTATTCTTTCACCATAGAAGTCCGTTATCAACTCCCCCACCCCAGAGGATGAGAGGCTTCGTTGGTGTAGAGCGGAGTCGAACTACCACTATGTTCGTTATGACGGACATCACTACCACTGTGCTATCCGCGCTTTAATTTTCTCTAAGATTAAAAGATTAAAATCCTCATTTTAATTATCCCTCAAGCAAAATATACTAAATGAAAATTAATTTTAGGAAAAAGTCTACTCGACATGGAGCAAATTTATCAGTTTCATTATTTATGAGATAAAGGACAGTTACCTGGAGCAGGTAAAAAATTGTTACCTTTATTTCGTCTTCATACATTTCTTTCTCAAAACAATTGTTTATATTCAAAATAGCACCTCGTGTTTGTTGAACAGAAGTAGAAAGATATATACAATTGTTTATCTTCTCATAATCATAAAATCATTTTTGGTAATAACTTCTCTAATAATTCCTTCGGCAATCGATAATGGGAAAAATAAATTGACTCTGAAAATGAGCGTTAAAATATGCGGCTCAAGACTAAGTACGAAATACGGGTATTGAATAAAACGCATCGGCGATCGATATTTATTCACACCGCCAGAAACATCGTGCCATTTTGAGATCATGCACGCTCTCACATAAATTTGAAGGGCTCCAGGAAAAGTTGCCAACTATAGAGAAAAACTGAAAAATTCTATATGAGTTTTACACCCTAGTGATGATTGATGCTGCCAGATGTTTTATTACTCTTATGGGCCTCTAAAACCGGAATTACCGTATAACTTATAATCTGAAGAAACCTGCTCACTCATCGTTATGATGCTGGAGTGGCGCGTACTCTGACCGAGCGGTACCTTCTTGCTCACTTACCGCTTTGCAAACCTCTATTAGGACGCCAAGAAGTGATGCATTTTTAAAAGTGATTACTGGACATGAAAAGTGGTTTTTTTATCAAAATTTTTTAAGGAATAGAAAGCAGTTTTTCTAAAAGCATTTTTCAAGAAATAAAAGTGGCTAACTTTCGAAATACTAGCTTTCCTTGCAAAGACCACTTCTAGGGGTTAGTATATTATGAGCACACAATCAGGGGACTCAGTCAGTTGAGAACGATTTCGCTCCGAAAGTCTGGTGGCAGTTCGTAAAGCAAGATGAGCAGGATCAGGCAACCAATGCGACTTTCTCTTCTGTCGTGATGGCTGGATCACTCTGGATGAGGATTCGGTCCATTATCACGCTATCTCGAACTGATACCTTCAGGCTACCATCTGTTTAAAATGCTGTAACCATTCATCTTGACTGAGCTGACACGAAGTTGGTACAAAAATTTTTATTCTGCTAACGTTTCGGGGCCTTAGCCTTCTTCACAACCAAGTTGATCCGTGTCGATGGTCCACAGCTGATCCTCGTCGCGATGTGGATGTTCGTGGTCGCATCAAATCCAATTCTATGAGGGAGATGTTGGAGATGAGACCTGTTCAGATGCTATAAAATGGTTTGAACAAAAATTGGATTTATTTAGGATGTCAAAATTTATTTCAGCCACTTTTCTTGAATACTAGCGAGTCAGCTTTTCAAGCTTCGGTGACTTCGATGACATTACAGCATCTCTGATTCCTTGGACACAGTATATGTGATAATTTTTTCAAGAGCATCGGTAATATAGTGAACAGGACTAAGAACTCGATTTCATGCGCTTTTTTCTATTCAACGCTTATTCCTGCCTTACTCGTACGAAACCTGTTTGCTATTCAAGCAGGATGAAAGATCACAACGCGTTATCGGAAATGCAGGGGAGAGGACGCTGGTGAAAGTATCCCATATAGCGTAGGAAAAAGAAGGAATTGGAATTTTCGACCTATGTCAATAATAGAAGGTCGGAAACTCCGCTCTGCACGCCAAATTGCTAAAAATCAGGTGGTCCAGACAATGCGGTTTAACGAGTATTGTTGGAGAAGAGCCTTCAGCGACTGAGCTCCAAGAGATATCAAGTGAAAAACGGGGCGATAACTCACCCGATAGATTCATAACGAGGGTTGTAGAAAAAAGGTGTGATCCTCAGCAAGCTTGTAAAACAAATAGTACCCAGTGGAATGCTCTACATCATGACAACGACAAATGAAGACTTCAGTAGCTCCCGTTCGAGAAACGACTGATCGATCGGAAGACTTGTAATGCAGCTCATACATGTGTTTAAATTTTTGCGCTCAAATGAGGTTGAAAATAGCATAATGTACACTTAGATAAACTTCGCAACGGTTTACTGCCTCGCCGTGGCTGGAAGGTGTTTCTGAGTGTCGGGCTGCGATTTGCAGAGTGAGAATTCATCCCCTGGTAAGGTTTTGCAAGCTGAGAAGGAGTCCGGCGTTTCCATCAGGAAGTCTAGCCAAGAGTAAACCAATACCAGGATCGAACACCGTCCTGGTATCAAATTAGTTGCATGGTGGCGAATCTCACTCTGATCCGGAAAGGCTGCGACTGCCTGTGGTGGCGACGACCTGGGGCAGAGTTTGGCCACGCTGACCTCGGGATTCCAGGGAAACACTATGGCTAAACTAGCAAAACTCCGAAAAATGGAGATTATGCTGGGACCCGCACAACCAGTAAGGACGAACCATGCAAGTATCCAAATGCAATTAGATAACAGATAATATACAATTTAAACACGTGTCTATCGTTTTGCTATCGAGGTTAAATGACGGCCTGTATAAAGACGATACAGTTGTTGTATACTGAGATGTGAATGTTAAACTCTATAATAATTTTCGCAAAATCTAAAAATTTGTTTCACGGACATAAAGGAATTCCTTTTCGCATGCTTGAAAAATTCAAAGATGATCTTAGTACAGGAAAGTGCTAAAAGCTTTTTTTGGAAGCGAAAGCTTTCCGAAATCACCACAACAATGGCTTGCAATGGGAACGATTGCGAACAGAGAACATTTCGAACAACAAATTAACTACCATTTCAATCGATGCGTATCGATTGCACATTATGATAGTGGTTCACCGCGCATAGCCAATACTTCTTATTTACATGCTTCACTACCACTTGCACTACAGAACTGCCAACTGCTTGCAGGTCCGTCATGCACGCTCGTCCTCATGCCCGCAAATCGACGAATTGGCCGTGTTTCGTCGACCCGACCACAGGAAGAATTCGATGTATGGCCCCAAACTCTTGCAAAAGCGATCAAATCAGTAGCTGGCAGTGATACGAGTACACTTCATGTGCTCTCATACACAGTCGTACTTGCAGCTGTAAATCACATCTCCCAAGTGTTAATCTGAAATGCCATTCTCAGAAATTCCAAGTAGCTTCATCACTTATCCAGCCTATGCTTCCGTCACTGGCTTCAAGTGAATGGCTGAAAATTATTTTATATCCTTGTTCTTTGCGAGTTCGATGACATTATTTAACACTTTTTCAAATATTGTACTGCTTAACTGTAGTTGATACTTAAAAATGTACCGGATAAGTTTTAATGAGGTGTTTGGGAGGGGATGGGTACAGGCAAACCATGTTTGCCTCATAGTTGAAAAATTTTCCATTTTTTGTGTTTCCGCATAAATTAGGCACAAAACAGTTTTATGAGAAACTGTTGAAATAATAAAAGATTAATCGTTGTATTCTCAACTGTCGCTTCAAATATGCGTCGCAATAAAGATTATTGAAGGGTAAGAGGGTTTACTGTTCATCAATTCGTTCGAAATGTGCCATGCATTCTACTACATCGTTGCATCAAACGGTGAATGAATGCGTATTCGACCTATACCGCGACTTGGATGGCCTGACAATGCATCGAATCAACGTTTTCTATCCTCCCAGAGAAGTTTGATTGTGTAATTTGCAACTGTAGAAGGATTCAGGCCGTTGCTAAGGCGCAGGATCGGGGCAGAGACCTTGTGTACATTGCAGTTCACCGCTAGGCACTGTTTAATAACAAAAAAAAGGAAGAGTTCCCGGCGGTGACCACTCCCTGAAAGATGCGCCATGCATTCGATTTCATTAAGCATCGCTGGAGGTGATTGAATGCATTTCAGGCCTTTACAATGACTCGCAGGCCCTACTGAGGTGTCGAGCCAGTGCTGCTATCCTCCCAGACAAGTCCGGTACCAATTTGCCATCCCCGGAGGGAAGGAAGACTTGGTGGGCCATAGGCGCAAGGATCGATTCCAGGTGTGTTGCATGGCGCCTCCGACCACTGAGCCACGCGCGTCCTCACACTGTTTAATAGCTGACATAAATCAAGACGATTTTGTTCTTTGAGAAACATGCAGGTGAACTACGCGGTATGATGCTTTTTCAAATACATTAATAAAAATTTATGCTGACTGAACTCTTTTTCAGCAATCTCCATTCTATAGCTTTGACTGGTTCCTCCTCCTGAATTCGATATAGGTCCGCTTGACGGACTCTCTGAGGTCATTTGTTTGCTCCAAGTTGAAGATCTACATACAGGAAGAAAATGGCTAGAAACTGAGAGCTAGCGAAAAACTCGATGACCATGGATTTCCACAATAAATCTGTAGAAAATGAGCTTTTATTTATGGAAAATCAGGTAAACCAAGGAATAGGGAAAATCCTATTTATCATTAGCAATTCTCAGCATTGCAAACGACTTTTGGAAGAAACTTTGGTGTAAATGGGTACATATGAAAGGCAGGATGGCTACGATAAGATAGAAAAACGGGATTATGTTAGAAAAAATCAAAACAGAACTTAACGACGAATTCGTGAAAGCGAAACAACAAAACTCGTCACTTTTGTGCTCGACCATGGATAGCCAACAATGAGCATATGCTTCCCGTGAAGATAAAGTGAGTGAGTGATTAACTAAGGGTGCTCTACTCGAAATGAACAAGTGTATTAAAACGATAGCCGGACCCGTACACGATCATCTTCCAAAGAGATTACCGAAGTTTCCACCTAAATTGTTGAGATCAAACCCAGTAAACTGCTGAAGGATTTGTCCTGCGGCAGCAGCAGCGGCCTGAAAATTCCCATCATTGGTTCTCAAAAAAAAAATTAGTAGTAAAGAAACAATTATTCCATAAAAAGATAAGAAAAGGTGAAACAGATTAAAAAAAATTAACCACAGCAACAAATGCGTTTGAAAAAAAAAATATACATAGATAAAAAATATTGCGAATATTCAAATCCAATGTGCTCTCCGTTTACCGCCTCGTCGTGGTTAGGAGGTGTCGGGCTGCGATGTACAGCGAGAGTTCATTTCCCTAGCAGAGCCTCCCAAGTTGAGAAGGTATGCGATGTTTCCATCCGGAAGTTCAGCTAAGAGTAAACAAATACTAGGTGTTGCCACCGTCCTACTACCAAACAAGTCGTATGGTGGCAATCTCGCTCTGATCCACAAGGGCGGCGAGATACTGTGGCGGTGACAACTTGAGCAAGGCATCGGCTAGGCTGACCGCTGCTGAGCTCCGTGGAACCACATTGGCTAAACCAACAAATCTAAATTATGCTGGCGCCCGCACAACCAGTGAAGGCGGGCCATCCAAGTATCTGCCTATGTAGGTACGTATACTTTCACATCGCTTTTTCAAAAGTTAGTAAATATATGTGATAATTTTTCCATTTATGTTATGTAAGGAAAGGTGAGCACCTGCTTGCCCTGAGGGCCGCCTTGCTTTATAGCTTGTGCGTTTTGAATTGACTGTTGAATGAGTCCAAATATTCCAAGATCTTCTCCATCTCCTTCGCTTGGACGAACAGATGGCGATGGACCACCAAGCGCTGAATTTCGTACTGATAAATGAATTCGGAAAACTACCTTCCAATTAACGTTTTACTAAATACTTGTTACATATGCTATAATAACATTTCATATTATGAGTTATATCTATTATGATACTTATCATACTATTATTTTACTTTTGTACTTTTATCATCCTTTGTAATTCATAAACTAAATTATTACAACCATAACGGTGCTCAAACATTTGCAAAACTCAGGACCGCAGTAGTCTGCTGTGAGGATCGAACCCATCATTACCATTTCCGGACGTTCACCACCATACCACGCGGGTCCTTCGTTTCCACCTTCTTATCACAAATCAAATTTAATCTAATTTATTACATTATTATATTTTATGACTTTTCCTTTTATTTTTGTATTTTTCATTATTATAATTTCATTACATTTATTTGTTTCTCATTTTATTTCACCGATTTATTGATTCGTTTTATGTCACGTCATTGTTTCATGATGTCGATTGATTTTATTGATTTATTTGACTAAGGGAAAAGAATCGAATGAAAGAAGTGGAGAGTTTCGCCTAGTAGATATGACGACAGATCATGTAAAGCAGAAATAAAATGTTATATTGACTACATATTATTACGTATCATACAACAATAGTAATAATACAATAATACAACCTTATAGTGAGACAATATTTAATCTTAACCCTTCTATTTACTGCCTTTTTTTCCTTTCTAATGGCAGGGTATGTTGCGAAATATAACTCCATACAGCATACACCTGCGGTCCGGAGTTTTGCAAATATCTCAGCATTATACACAATATTTAATATTTATATTTATTAATATTTAATAATATTTATAACTTATTATAGTTTCAGTAACGGTTACCGCCTCAGCGTGGCTGGGAGGTGTTCCTGGGTCTCGGACTGCGATGTACAGCGAGGAATTCATCCCCTGGCAGCGTCTCCCAAGCTGAGAAGGAGACCGGCGTTTCCATCAGGAAGCCTAGCTAAGAGTAAACCAATACCAGGATCCACCACCGTCCTGGTATCAAAGTCGCATGGTGGCAAATTTTCCTCTGATCCTCAAGGGCTGCAACCGTCTGTCGTGGTGACAACCTGGGGCAGACTTTGGCCAGGTTGTCCTCGGGATTCCAAAAAACCACAATGGCTTAACCAGCAAATCTCCGAAAAATGGTGATTGTGCTGGGACCCGCACACCTAGTGATGATGGGCTGTTCACGTAAGTATAGTTTAAGTATTAAAAAGTAAGCTAAAGTGTTCATGTTAACTGCTCTTAATCAACCTACGCAAGGTTTTTTTTGTGAAATACAACCATAGTGATGCTTAGACATTGGCAAAATCCAGACACTACGCCAGATTCGAACCCGTGACTATCGTTTTCGGGACTCACTTGTTATCCACTGCACCATTGAAGCCCTTGATTTCCCTTTCTCTCAGCCAGTACTTTCTTACCCTAACGGTGCTATTAGCAATCACCCGTTAACGGGAATGACCTGGGGATGCAGATCGACATTAAGCCCAGTTGAGCTGAGGGTGCAGTCGAAATCAGCAACAGTTCACAGGAATGAAATGGATTGATATAAGAATATCTTTATTACTCAAGTACCAAGTACTTGCAAGCCTTATATTAAGGCCACATGATGCCGATTTTGATTTTAAAAAAAAAGATCTGAATTTTATCCAACAGTAACTGATGCAAGAAGTCTCGCTCTCATTCACTACCTACTTATCACATTATGGGACCAACATAAGACTATGTCACTTATCTAGCAAAAGTAACGTACGATTATTCCATATTTCCATGAACTAATCCTTTCCATAAATATACTCCTAGGAAATAAAACGAACCACTTCCAAATCCAAAAGGTGATGTCGTGCCAAAAAGTCTTTCTTCGCCTCCTCCGCCCACCCGTCCTCTCATTCCTCCACGTCCTGCTATCTGTTCAATAACTCGGTTTGGATTTGTTCCTCTTCCAAATACTCCCATGCCAATTGTAGATGGGAGTGGAGCAGGCAGGGTGTGTGCAGTCGGTGGAAATGGAGTAAAAGGTGAGTGAGTACTAGTAGAAGAGAACGCCGATGATGAAGGCGTTGGAAGAAAAGAAGATGGCATAGCTGAAACCGACCAGCATTAAAAATTATAAATTAAATTATGATTATTATAATTAATATTATTAATATTAATATAATTATAAATTAATTAAATTATCACTAACTATGATAACAAAAGATTAAAGATGGTAACGCAATACAATGGTTTCTTTTGCCGCCTTTACCCCAGTGAAAGGCTTAGTGAAAAATAGGCATTGCAGACAATAGGCGCCACTCAGCTCAATGGTTTGAATGATGATCGAAGACCACGCTGAGTTTGCTCAGAATACGGTGGTTGATGTTTGGTGATAGACGACTAGTACCTTCCACTAGAACATTACTAGAACATTATCAACTTAAGCGAGAAGTTGAAAGGACAGAACTTTTACATAGAAATCAAAACTCTGCAGCGTACGCTGCATTGAAAACAGCCTTCCACGGCAAATAAAGGGTGCGTCTAACGCAGTGGTTAAGGGTGTTCCGCAATACACCTGTGTTCGATCCCGCATCCCAGGCTCACCAAACCTTCCATCCCGCCGCAGTCGGCAAATTTGTATCAGAACTCACTGGGAGGACATTAGCACCGACTCAATACATCGGTAAACTACCGGAAATCAATGTATAGTCCAGATATGCGCTGAATCACCTCTAACGATGCTTAATGAAGCTGAATGCATGGCGCATCCTTTAGAGATTGATAACGCCGACAGCTTTATCCTTTTTTCATTCTTTTCACATCAAACTAAAACATTCCACTATAAAACATCGCCATAAAACCTTCCTACAACTGCAGAACATCCTTCCCGAGAAAAGCCTAGGACAGGAAACAAGCAGTAAGAAATCCTAGCCAACTTCATCGGATCCAGAGATTCAAAACTTTATGTTGACGGAATACGACACATTGGTAAAACCGAATCCTTTATAATAGTTTTTCCCTCCACTTGGTCAGGTTGAATTTGGAAAAAAGCAATTGAGTTCTAAACATTTTAGTTGAGAAACAACGTTGATGAGTTTAGGAATGGTGCGTATCAACGCCATGCGTGTGGAGCAATGGGAAGAGGTGACGTGCATTACACAGGTAATCCTGAGTTTAACTCGGCACCCGGACCAACCAAGCTCTCCATGTTCTTGTATTTTACCTATACATGAATTAGGGTACAACTTTTAGAAGCGGAAAAAGTGGTTTAGATAACTAACATGGAAACCTGCTAAGCCGATGAGTTAATTCCACAAAAATAAACGCACATTTACACATTTCGGCGAGTTTCTCGCAAGAACGCATATCGCTGAAAAGATTCGCATTCGTTTCGACTGTCGTACAACCGGGAAACCAGAACTCGTCGCATTGAAACGTCTCCTAGAAGATTCGAATAATAAGGAGCATGAACAGATTAACAAAGGAACTGTTGCTTAAGAGAGTATGATGTAGTAAAAATCAATTATTGTAGATGACACAGAGATATTAGGAAGCCAAGGCACATCCATTTATCGTGCATATGCAACCAAACTTTTCCATCAGCGTAACATTGAATTGAGTAAAATAGCATGAATTTTTGAATAAAAAAACCGATTTTATTCCCAAGCTATTTTTTCACGCTGTACTTCATTTCTTGGCGCACTTACAGAGATTGCACTTGCAATTTTTTTATCCAACTTTTTCACAACAGGATCAACCTGGACAGATTTGGACAGATAGACTTTAACAGTTTTATAACACCATCGGAAAAAGTTTGGAATCCAGATCTGCAGCGGTTATTTCATTCTACCACTACGATGGAAGCTGAAAACAGTTCGACATTCTGGAAGTCTGACATTTCCATCCAGTTCTCATTTATAGCAAAACTATAACAAGACAGGATACGACATGCCATCCATAGCTCTTCTCTTTTTTTCCGTTTGAAAAGAGTAGAAGTAAGCTGATTCCTTTTCCTGACCACGGAAGATTTTTACTCATCAGCGTTGAATGAAACTTGTACACAGAGGAGGATAAAACTTTGTAGCCTTCTATGGATACGAAAGCCTGAAAGTGCTATGGTGGTGACCTACGACCAGAATGTACATGCGCTACCCCTGGAAGATTTTACTGATGAAGCAAGACGACTAAAACACGACCTCAATGCATACATCGAGACGAGGAGATACCTTCACTTGAGCACTTGAACACCTTAACTCGGCAGCCAACTTCAAGATTTCAAGAAGAATCGCGGATTCTATTCATTCTACTCTATTCCAAAGACATTCGTAAACAATAAAAAATCCTAAAGCTGCAGGCGAACCAACATGCGAGGTGTTCAAAGACCACTATGGACGGTGAATGGTAGGAGAACGGATGAAATTCAGAGAGTGCTGGGATCCGCTCAGTAGAAGTGAGAACGAGTGATATAAAAAAAAACTTTTTCAAGTAAATAAGAAAAAACTGTAATCTTCTCAAGTTCATCATTGCAAGCCGCCAAAGTTGGTTGCAAGAAAACCTCTAAAGAACATCGCCGGAATGGAGAAAACAAGTTGAGCAGAATGAAAGGCTGACTTGAGTCACTGTGAAAAAAAAGCTATCCATGCAACTAGAAATTCTAGAGTTTCCCAAGCGCTAAGCACTGAATTTTAGCTTGAGTTCAAAGGATAATAAAGGTGTTATGTGATAAAAAACCAACCAATGTACCTACGCGAAAGTGTTGAAAGAAAAGCTTTTATGGTCAACCATAGGCGCCAAATAGTTGTTACTATACAAAAGGTTCAGCCCTTTCACTACCTCGGTCATTTTGCCGTGGCTGACCCACCGGATGGCTTCCTTTTGAAGCGCACACGAGGCGCGGAATGAGGGCAAGATATAGTGTCATGAAAGGGCTCAATTCATGAATAATGAGGGAAAAAGCTCAATCGATGTGGGAAAGCAAAATAGCTATAGGACATAAGGTAAACTTCGAATGATTAGACTACAATAACAGTAACTAATGTGATGCTGAGACATTGGCAAAACTCCGGATCGCAGGTGTCTGCGATGGGAATCGGACCCGCTATTACCATTACCGTAACTTGTTCCCCACTACACTATCCAGCTCGTTCGCTTGCGGAAAAAAGAATAGACAGTAAACAAAAAGTGACTACATTCTGATTTACCCTACAGCTTCAGCTTAACTGGTTTCAATGGCGATTTATGCTGCGCTGATCAATCCCGGTGATAGGTGACTGGTGATAGCAACTAAAGGTTAAAACACGGCTGAGAAAAAGAAGAAACAAAGGAACCGCAAGGTGTGGTGGTGAACACGTTCGCTCCCGAAAAGGGAAAAAACGAGGTCCGATCTCTACCGCAGACACCTACAATCCGGAGTTTTGAAAACACCTCATCATCATTGTGCTTATATTTCACATGATACTCAGCCATGAAAAAACAAGCAGCAGGTAAAAAGTACTAGTCTAAAATATCGACTTTCTTTAACTTTTGTTCTCTTCAGCTTACATGTCTGGTTATCGTAAAGTATGGGCCGATAAACTGCTAGAGGTGTGCATTGCTATGGTCTATGACAGATTATGATAAATGGATATATCAGACCTTGTTATATGTGTACATCACCTTGAACCCACAAAACCTCCCATTTGGTGGGCCCATTTGACAGATGTCGGTGGGATTGATCGGCATCGGATGCACTAAAAACATAAAACATTAAAGTAATACGATTTGTTTAATGGATTTACTAACATCTTCTTCGCTTTCGAAAATTCCGACACTCACGTCTAAAGTATACTTTCACTATGAAAAGGTGGGTTACAAAAACAAGCAGCAAATAAGAACAAATCCTCACTGACGTTCACGATGCTTACAACTTTTCATTATCATAAATTACGCGCTTTGCGTTCCACCGTCACTTATTATATTTGATTTTTTCGTTATCATGGCGTTATTATTCAATCAGTTCAGTCTCCTGTTACTTTTTTGAAACCAGAAAAAATCAATCAAATTTTTGGAAATCGTTGCTGATCAATTTCTCACTTCTTTCTATTCAGCATAGAAATATAGTTTTGATAACCAGTGGTGTTATCGCGATTTTTGTTCCATTTCCTATACCTTAGTAGTCCTTGAGAACCAGCTTCTTGGGGGGGAAACCTCTCCTTCATTGGTGTATTACACCGCAGCCAATCACGTTCGCACGTTAAGAACGCGGTCGTAGTTTGTTCTTTGACGTGTCGTACGAGTGAAGAATAAACAAAGAAAACGCATAAAGTCACAACGGCTTGTAAAAATGAATCACTTGAATGCACTTAGGCAGAATAAACTAAGAACGCTCGGAAAACTTATATTGGACCTTATTCGGCTCTTCCGGCCGAATATTGTTGGTTACATATCGGGTAACAGACAACGCAGTTTAAGGGTTTTTCTTAACGCCAATATTCAAAAACTACTTTGAAAAATTAACTTCTAATATTTGGTAATCTACATTTGAGATGAATTATATCATCTTCATGTTAACACTTTCTCCAAAAAATCACTAATGCATCGAATATGGGTATGTGCTAAGACTAGTCAGTGACGCGATAGAAGTTCTTACTATCCTGAGGAAAGAACTCTCCGACCTTCGCTTTAATATTACGTCTTCAGATGGATGAACGCTGCTGTTCGCTCAAGCGACACAACGCCAGAAAAACTTACACGTAGCAAACCGTGAAGTATTGGAAGTATTACAACAAAAACGAGACCCTCGTATCTCTACTATAAGGTTTTAATTTTTATTAACCCTGAAAAAAACTCCTATGGGTTTGTAAAAACTCGAGTACGGTCCTCCGTGTGCGGTTATCAGCTAATTCAAGCTTTTCTTCAATAATGCTGTTCCGTAAAGTTCTTCGAAATAGTCGTGGCTATATGAATGGATTTTTCTACCGTATGGCAAGAAACATTCTAACGATTTTCCTCTCAAGGATTTCAAGCTATAGCCTTATTATACTATTAAATAAATAGGCTTAGCCCGGTTATCATGATAAATGGAAGTGTTAACTATTACAATTACTGAGACGAAAACACAGGAAATCCGGTTGTGTGCACGTCAGTAATAACACAAAGCCTTACCGAACCATGGCCTCCTCATTGCCTCTAAATTCTCCTCAAAGAAAAAGAGCAATATGGTCGCTTCTTCATAGAAATACACTTCAAACCTTATCGTTAAAAATCCCACTAGTTCAATAGAAAAACAGATTATCGAAAATAGAATTAGCAGTTAACGGAACATGACCTTTCACCACGGGGCTCGAAATCATCGTTGTAGTACTCAAGGACGATGCGAGGATATTTGGCTCGTTAGAACTTTGACATGTAGATTCAAACAGACTTAAATGCTAAAAAATGTTCCGCAGAATAACCCGCAAAACTATAGAGTTAGAGCGAATTAAACGACTGAATTCCTTGTTTGATTTGCGGAAACTTCAACAAAAGATAAAGTTTGACTTACGAGCGTTAACCACTTCTTCGTTTTTTTCAACGATTCCTTTAAAACCAAGGAAAATAGTGACGCTCACCAATGTTTTTCTCCGAAAATCCGCTAAATGCTCCGCGTTCTTTCCACGGCTTATCCACTGTACGCGCTGGTGACGGTGGTTGAATGATCAACTGAGGAGGACCAACTGGTATTCCCCCATTTGCTGCCGTCAAACACTAAATGCTTACAATATTGTTCGAATTCGTTGTTTCAATCAAATTAAGTCGTTGAATAGAATTACTTAGTCCCAGTTTTAGACAAATGCACAGATGTAGGGCATTTCATTTGTTCGCGTTGCAGTTTTCAAGGATAGAGAAATCAAATAACCTGGTAGCTGTTTGAAATGCGCTCCAGTCTCGTTATCGTAAAAAAATTGTGAGATGGGAAAAGGCAGTCTTCGATGTTAACCTAGTCTATGAGTAGAAACATGCTGGAGAGCAATTTATAGTGGTTTTCCAGACTTTCGTTCACAATAATCCTTCAAAAATCTCTTGAGTACGGTGGCCTCTGGTGTAGTGGGCAGACTGGTGAACAGGGGCTCCAGGTGGGGCAGAATTGATCTCTTGAGGAGAACAGCTACATTCTTCAAACTTTCGCCTTTTTACCTCAGTATGCGCTTCCTAAAAAGTCACTGACACAAATGGCTTTTTTTGCTTAGCTTTTCCACTAAATTCATATTACCAATCTTGAACTTCACTTCTCCTATTACTAAAGGTCTACCTGTTCCACTGCAGTGACTTATAAATATCTTATACTTATACGTGCCACTGTTTTCATGTATACGTTCAAAAGGATGCTTGCGAATGTGGAAGGCCGTTTGCCGCTGTACGTCGAGTTCACTGTACCTTGTAAGTCCATTCGGACATGAGCCAGCAACCAAATGACATAGCAGTGAATGGGAGACAATATAGGATCGTTGCCAACAAATAAGTCCAGAGTTTACCTCGGCTAAGCCCAACAAGTTACCCCTGAATATAGCCACCTCCCTCACTGCAAAGTCAAACAAAGCTTGCTGTGATAACTGAATTATTCCCGTCATCCATGACTAGCCCTTACATTCATTAGTATTTGATATTAAAGATAAAGGGCCGAAATTAGATATAGTGATTACGGACTTGAAAACACAATGTAGGGTTAAAAATACGACAAAATCAGAAGAAGCAATATAGGAATGGGAAGCAAACGAGTGACCATCAATCGAATAATAGGACCAAGTGAGCTGTTGTATATAAAGTGATATGTTTCTGAACTGCTGTACCCAGATTTTTTAGAAAGAATGAGATATTGTGGAGTTCAATTTTTGTTCAAAACATGCGCACCTCAACAGGAACCGGCCGGCATTCATTTGCACTGATTTCCTGGTACCTGGTATTCAGCCTCATGCAGACCTGTCGGGGAAAATCGCATCGATATGGTGGACAGTCAATTGTGGCTATAGACGTGAATTCTCCAGTGAGGAACGAATCACCTACAACATTCGATTTGCTCTTAACACAGTTCAACTAGCGTGTTTTGCTTGATTCTTACCAATGATCGAAACAAGTGAATCTGATTAACAATCTTTTATACTATCGTTTGATTTTGGACTTCGATCTCCATTCCATCCACTTCTCTAGCAAACAACCGTATAAAGCCCTCTTCCTTTATAAATGCATAATGGCTATTCAGGGATTCGGCCTAATAATACCTCGCCCTCAACCGGTTGGTCAACAAACAGCAGGAATCGTTCCCGTCCCGCATGAATCCAAATCGCAACGCAGCAATCATCCTTCCGATATCAACGAATGGCTTTGGGTAACGACATGATTGAGAAATCCCTAATATGGCTATTTCGGGATTGCAAGAAACACCACATGGAATCAGCGAAGGCAGAGTCTCAAACCTCGGCCAAGCCCACATGCAAGACCTTCCATTTCCACAGATGAGTAGAAGAATTCACTGGAGCCTATGTTTGAAAATAGATGAAACATCTAAGAAATTGTCTATTCAGTGACACAATAACTTTTTTTCGAACTTCTTGTGGATACCGAGCTTCTGATTAGATCGCTACTGATCGCGGGTCTATCTGCCATTCGGTAGATAAGTAGTATGGACGCAGCTGAACGCTACAATAAGCAAAAGCAATCAATGAGTGAATAGGAAGAAAAAACAGGACATGTTAATTAAGTATAAGACATGAATGGCTTATTTAACTAGAGGTTCTCGGCCTATTGTTTAGAAGACAAGCAATGCAACGAGCTTATGGAGGGCAATCAATGACGTTTCTAAACGAGATATGAATTCGTAGTAGTTTAGCGCTTAAATTGTTGAGCTCAATTTAAACATATGTTGATGATTTTGCTGCCGAGGTTAAATGACAGTCGGTTCAAAAATCGCTCTGCTATTCACTCCGAACGATGTTAGATTCCACATTTCAAGAGTATGATGCAGGAATTCTTTTGCTACGAGTCAACTATTCCGAACAATCACAAAGACACAAAGAATCCACTTCACCAAAAAACTCCTTTACATAAAATCCAAAGTCTTGATAGCTTTCTTGTTCAAAGGTTTATCGATTGTCGAACTAACCTTTACTCAAAGGAAACAAAACAGCCTTCTCACATGGAGTTGTTAAGGTGTTTAGGTGCTGCTCAGAAGTAGTGAGGAATTAGCGGGTTTCTACTATTTGATATCCCAGATATAAAACATTTTCACAAGATCGTCCGATCGACTATAACGCGCATCTAATTATGTGGTAAATTTAGACAAGAGATCAATACATTTCAAGAATGCTGAGTACCTGAATACATGAACACCCTGTTTAGAACATGGTCGACATTTCGTCGTTTTCTCTCTCAGCAATCGCGAGGTTGTTAAACAGCATACATTTACTTCCATACAATAACACATATACAACAGAATTGTAGCTTTTTTTCGGCAGAATCGCCTTCTTCAGAGCCGCTTTTTCACTTGCCTTCCACCGAGGAAGAGTCGATCCCGGGTACTATGACCAACAATTTCGAAAATATCGGAATGTGACACAGAATTGGCGAAGCACACGGGCTTTTAACTTCCAACATTGACTAAGTAGTTCACTTGCTTCAGAAGGAAGAATTTATCTACCTCATTTACCTGCACCCATTCATACGGTGTGAAAACAATGGCCACTTCTACTGGAAACAGATGTCCATATTGAATTTTACTGGTTGAAGTGGAAAACACTCTTCTACAGATTTTTTCTACCGCCATACAAGCTTCTTCGATCTCACCAAGGCAAAAGTCTGATTTGCCTTTACCAGAGCCAACTGCGCCTAACCTCCCAACAGTTCACCGCCTCATCGTGGCAGGGAGGTGTTCCTGGGTGTTGGACTACGATGTACAGCGGTGGATTCATCCCCTGGTAGGGTCTCCCAAGCTGAGAAAGAGTCCGGCGTTTCCATCAGGAAGCCTAGCTAAGAGTAAACCAATACCAGGATCCACCACCGCCCTGGTATCAAAGTCGCATAGTGGCAAATCTCCCTCTGATCCACAAGGGCTGCGACTGCCCGTGGTAGTGAAGACCTGGGACAGACTTTGGCAAGGCTGACCTCGGGACTCCAGGGAACCATAATGCCTTAACCAGCACCAAATCTCCGAAAAATGGAGATTATGCTGGAGCCCGCACAACCAGTGAGGACGGGCCATTCAAGTATCAAGTCAAGTAAGTAGCTGCGCTTAACTACATGTTTTTCTCTGACGCTCATATTTCGAACACTTAAACAATTGAAGAATGCGATTTCGATCGGCAGAAAAGGTGGCCCTCTACGTTCGCCTTCTAGGTTTCAAAAATCGAAACTTATTTTTCAACGTTGTGAAAATACTACTTCCAAAGAAATTTTTAAAAAATTGGGTAATCGAGTATTCGTCATCGAGTTGTCAAAAGAACATTATGGTGGTGAATGCCTCAAGGATAACTAAGTAGACGTCGCGAAAGTTGGGTTTTTCAGAAGGTAATGAGGTTTAGGCACACTGATGGAGTGCTATGTTTCCACGTAAGAGGAATTCAAATATCAAGTAATCACTTTAACGACCAACTAGATGCCATTACACCACCCTAACGACTCGCTGTATCAATAGCCAGTCTTCGGTACCCTAAGAACGTTTCCACTGCAAGGCTAACCGGAAAAAATACGTAGCGAAAGTGAAGCATCACTTCTTAGCCCTGTTAACTTATTTCCTCTTGTAATTTTTATTTTCACTCTTATTTCCTTTCTTTGTCCGTCACCTTAGGCTTAATACTTGCACCTATTTTTCCTGATGTGCATTTATGCTTCTTATGCTAAGTGATGATAAGATCATACGCAAAACCTAAATCATTTACCACTTCTACCTTTCAAGTCCTCCAAGTTTTTTTTTCAGCATGTTCAAGCACCTCGTGGAAATATGGGAACCATTATGACCAACTTTATTAGCCATGAATATGTTCCGTTGTTGTAATAGAGAAGATAGGCAATTTTTGCCGTACGTTGTCAATTAGAAACTAAGCAGAGCAATAACAAGTCCTCCGGCAATAGAAATACTCAACTCCAGGTTTCGATTCTTTTGCGTCGATTACCAAAACTCCTTTGCACGTTTCTTTTGGACAACCCTCTGCTCCCTTATCAGCTCATCAGAGTTCTTTTGTAATCCGCTTGCTGAACATCAAACACTTTTTATAGCAAATGGGTAAGTCAGCTTTGTGTAAATGAATCCAAGAAACCTTTGTGACTCATGTCACGAGCTGCTTTGCTTATAGTAACGAGGCGCTGAACGTGGTACGAGGAGACCAAACCGGTCCCTCAATGACAAGATTAATCGATCGCTTAGTCACCGTAGTCGTATTTAATTTCACAGGTTAAAAATTAGAAATCTTCATGAAATGACGCATTCAGGCGAAAAAAATTATTGGTTCAACAAGTTTATGCCAACATGAGTCAAACTGGACTCATTGGCCTTCAGACAGCGCAAACATTTTCAGCGGTTTTTTTTTCGTATCGTATCGTCGGTAGCCTCCGTGCCACAAATAGTTGATCTACTTTCTACAGTTTATACCTTATTTTTTTAAAAAAACTCTTTCTTGGACGACTTTGCAACCCATCACACCATGCGTGGCGAGACTACCCGTCGCCTCACGTGTCGTCAAAAAAAGCAGGTGCGTAGCGAATGCATCCTAAATATAACACTTATCGTGTTGCCGGAATTCGCACGTCCTTCATATCACGAGTTTGCTGACCTCCTGAGATGACTCAAAAGGAATATAAAGTTCGTTGAAATACAACCAATATAACCACAACGATGCTGAAATAATCTTAACCCGGACCGCAGGTGTATGCGGTGGGGAACGAAGACCCGGCGACTGCTGATAACGTCTTTAAAGCACGACTGAGAGAAAGGCAAAACGAAGGACCCGCATGGTGTAGTGGTAAATGGGTTAGCCCCGCAAAGGGTAATAACGTGTTCAATCTCCACCGCGGACCACTGCGGTCCGGAGTTTTGCAAATATCTCAGCATCGTTGTGGTTATATTTTACAACATACCTTACCATGAAAAAAGAATAAGCAGTTAATAAATGTAGTTGCGACAAATATTCCTTTTATGCTAGGAGGTTTTCAAGCAACAGCATCCATACAGTGGCGACATGTCACTTATAAAAAGCAAACGAACTAAACACCTTGTTTATAAAGAATTAGTTCTACATACAAATGCTTTTTTCACTTCCAAAATTTCCATTACTCAACAGCCTTTCTCTTTAAGCCCTCATCTTCTCCACATAATTACTGAGGGCGCATGTAGAACAGTGGTTAGAAGTGCCTTCCAATACACACGTTGCCGCAAGTTTGATCTCGTGCCCTGGGCTCATCAATCACTTCGTCCCTCGGCTCTGACAAACTGGTACCAGAGTAGTCTGGCAGGACCAAAGCACTGTCTTGATGCATCGATACACCACCACAACTCACTGTATAGGCCAGATATGTATTCTCTCACCTCTAACTAACGATGCTTACTAAAGCAGAATGAATGGCGCATTCCTCAGGAATTGATCAACGTCGAAAGCTTTTATCCAAAATCTGAAGCATACTTCGGTACTTTTATAATTTCCTTGAACCCATAGGCTCTATTATAGAAGATGGAAAGAAATAAACAACCCCAATACTCATCAAAATTGAGTTTACGATACTTTAACCATGTAAGCGCATGACAAACTGACGATAGACGAATAGTCTGATGAAAGTGAATCGGAGCATGAAGATGAAGACGACACTAATTTCAGCCCTGAGTGGTAAAACGACGTGGTGCCTGACGAACATTGGGTTTTTGATGACAACCCATTTGGAGTGGACCTACAGTTTGTGGTTCTAAGCACAGAATCGGTACATTTTTAAAGGTTTTTGCTACAGATATTTAAGGTTTGCTTGCAAAGAAGGCGAACAGTTACAGATAAGTGGAAACTACGCCGTCTAAGCCTACAACTCCGAGCAGAGAGATCGATCCTTCTCTAACTTCATATGCGAGTTTTTCTATTGCAGGAATTACGATTCTAGTTCTTCTTATACACGTTAGTCTTGCATCATACAGATATAACTCACGTAAAGGAAGGTGTGGAGCAAAGCTGTTCAAATTGTGGAAAAGAGACGGCCTCGCATACATTATGTGGGCTAGCATCCGGCATTAACAGGAATTCAGGACTGCAACTATGCCACCATACGTAACAAGCAGGTGAGCAGTCTCTGTAGAGAATGGAACAAATAATTTTACTCAAATTCTTTCAATATTACCCAAAATGAGTGCAGAATACAAAGCTCACGATTTAACTCTGATGATTGCAAATAGTTTGTTAAAAATGTCAGTGCGTTTAGCGTTGTGGTTAGAGATGTTCAGGACTATGCACGGGTTCGATCCCGCGCCATGGACTCACCAAACCTTCCATAACCCTGGGGTGCACAAATTGGTACCGGACCTCTCTGGTAAGATACAGCATTGACTCGGTAAATCGGTGAGCCACCGTGAGCCAATGCAGAGGCCAGATTTGAATTTAATCACTAAAGCCGAACGCTTTTGCTTTAATTCTTTCTACTTCTGTTCAGCAAGCGCGAGGTGTTACTTTATTTCTTTATTTACGTACAAGCTGACGTTCGGCGGATTTCGCCTTCCTCAGAGCCTGGAAAGGTCAGGTTGACTACAATCTTTTGCTTTATCTTTTACGGAAAAAGGGTTGACATGTTCGTAGTTGTAATAATTGAGCTAGCACGTGAAAGTGTAAATTGTCAAACTTCCGTTGAAAAATAAGTTTATTTGGGTATGACGACGTTGAAAATTTGCAATGTTGACGAAGATACCCTATGTGGAGTTGTGCTTGATGAACTCATACTCTCTGCGCGGGCGTCGGAATAACCTATACTTTCTTTACCAGAAGCAGTATCTGTTGGAGGAGATACTGTAGAATCCTCTTTACTCCTGCTATATCGCGTGGCAAAAAGGCGTTCGAACCCTATATTTGCTGACCTGGAGGGTTTCCAAATATGATGTTTAGTTTAGTAATAGAAAACTGCAAAGTCAAAACAGCAGCAAAGCAAGTGAAACAACGGGTGGAAAGCTTGTTTCGCTGAAAGTCCAGTTGCGAAAGGAAATCTGGATAATATCCAACACATTCCGACAGATGTCGTTAATCAGTGTGCGTGCTAATGAAGAGAAAGATAAGATTCTCAAAGGATGTCAGCGGATGATATACACGGCTAAGGATAACCTTTGAGGATTTACAAGAGTAACACATCATAATGCATCTCAGTGTTGAGAGCACACCGCTTATGGTTAAGTTGTTGGGTCTCCCAAATTGTTAGGAAAGTAGGCCTACTGAGTTATCAAGCGAAATGTTCGTCAAATGCAATCGTGACCATTATGAATCAGAAGCAGGTTTTCGCCATTTTTGAAGCATGACGTCACACGTAAGAACTAAATCTCCTGCTAGAGATCTATTTTTCTTCAATAGAACTTTCTTTCCCGAAGAAAAGTTTCCCTTCTAGAAAAAATAATGGTTGAAACAGGTGGGATTCACGAGAAAAACCGCATATGAAACTTCTTGAAATAAATCTGTGGATGTGATGCTTTCACTTTCCACATCAAGGACGAGAAGAGAAATGCGCCGTGAACTCGAAAGGCCTTTTTTCACCGCAATTTTAGCCACTTTTATCCAACCCGTTAAATGCTCCTTTAGCTTTTGTTTCGAAAGCAAGTATATGCACTACAACAAAGTGCTGTGAGTCATCTCCCAAATAGGCACTAAGCTCGTAGAAAGCTTTGGCACTATTTATCCCTAGTTTGTCGTCTGGGCAGTACTTCTAGGCAGTAAAGAGATAGTACTGGGAGGAATACTTGAATAAGTGAGTTGCACGTCTTCACAGTCGTGTGTACTTCGGTACATTTTCCATGTAACTGGTACGTTGGTGGTTTGGTAAGATTTTTCATAGAATGCTGAGAAACCTGTGCCACGATGTCCCCAGACTCGCTCCTTTACTCTTACTGGGCTCCTAGATAAGAATGCTCTACCATTTTCTACTTTACACTTTGAATAACCTTGCCTTGAGATGAGCCATTTACTCAGTTATGCAGCTAGAAACCCAGGAGCAGCAAAACTACGATACGCTAGGAAATGACTGTACGGAATGAGGATTGGTATCTCATTATCTCTCCCTAATAGAAATATTACATGGTACGATGAAGCAGGTAGTTCTTTTTGAGAGCTAGAACTGTGAATATAACGGAGATAGGTACAAGGAGCTTTTCATAATGCAAAAAGGCAGTCAGCGAATCCAAGAAAAAAAAAACAGCTGATTGTAAAGTACACTGAGAAACCTACATTCTTTAACATCGAATAGAACTTCCAAAAATGGATCGAGCTCTGTCGGTAGCTCAGCTTCGACAGCAATCAGTACGACGAGCAAGATGGTGCTCGTCACAATCATGGAGAATCTGCCTACAGGACGGTGACGTAAGTATCCAGAAGACGTCGAGCGCTTCGGAAATGAATTCCCACAGTTCGGAATCGACTTCGAAGGACGTCTAACACATGAATTGCTGCTAGGGAAAGAGTAAACGCCACTAATCGTTGCAAACCACCGCCCACATGCTGCGCTTCACGCCCAGAAGCGGGTTTCCGCGGCGGACGACAGGTTCCATCGCGAAATCGTCGTTTGAATCGCGCGCCACGCCGCTTGCAGTTTGCGACCAGGAAGGACAACCGCGTCTCTGTGTTTGCCACATGCGGGTTCGACGCTCGGCTATGACGGTTTCGCCCTTTTCCGTCTCTAATGAGTACATACATTTCTTTAATTAAATGGTGTAGGACCTATTGTAGTAGTACCTCTTGGTGTTCTGTTGCAACTTGTGTTCGATGCTCCGCACTGATGCATTTATACTGGTTTTACTGTTTGTGGATAGTATTTTGACTCTTTGTCGTATCTTTACAGAACAGTTCACTTTTTTACCTTATAGTCTGTCTTCGTGCTGTACATCTCTTGCGTGAAGGTGAATTCGTTGAAGCTGGTTATCAGAAAGTCCTAATGGATCAGTTACAAGCTCTCATCGAGCCTGGACGTCAGTTTGCTAAAGATTCGATTCGATTGGTGAAAAGGTGCACTAAGCCGGACAGAAAAGGTAATCATAAATTTCGACTCTTCTGTCCTTTAAGTAGTTTTGCAGCCCGTTCTGCCACAATTGTTTTTTTATGAGGCTCTATTGTTAAACGGGATTCTCTCGGTTGAACTATCAATGATGACTCGATCGTTTCTTTTCACTGTGAAACTTTCAGCAGGTTGCACCCCTCAGTACCAAAATGTTGTTGGTCCTTGATTTCCTCAGTGGCTAGTTGTTTCGTTTGGTTTAATATTTATTGTTTTTGAGTTGAATTGTCGTAAATAGAAGGAAGATCCGAATCTGTTTCCAAAGATTCATTGCTGTACGGTTAATGTAAACAATTAAATCACCTTTCTTGCATAGACCTCCCAGTTTGCCTGTTTTTCAGAATTAAGCTGTGTTATTCCCACTACACGTACGCTTCGCTTTCATCAAAAATTCAGTGTTGCGTTTTCAATAATAGGTGCATTCAGACAAAAATGTGTGGTCTTTCAAAGATTTTCCAACTTTAGTTTGAGTTCAGTGGAATCTGACGCCCAACTTTCTTCTAATTTGAAGGGATTTTAAAGCGTACTAATTTCAGTCACGATGTAGTCACTTTTATTTACTGCTTGCTCTTTTTCATGGGAGAGTATGTTGTGAAATATAACCACAACGATGCTGAGACATTTGCAAAACTCTGGACCGCAGGTGTCTGTTATGGGGATCGAACTCGCTATTACCCTTTCGAGGCTCTCACGCGTTCTCCACACCATGCAGGTCCTTCCTTTCGCCTTTCTCTCGGCCGTGTTTTAATCTATAGTTAAGCAGGTGCTAAATAGTTATATTTCACATCATACCTTGCCGTGAATAAAAGTGACTATATTGTGATAGATACAACACCTTCAGCTTAATTGGGTTCATTGCCGGTTTGTGCTCCTCAAGTCAATCCCTTTGAATGTTGATTGCTAGTAGCAACTATAGGTAAAAAACTGAGAGAAGGTCGAAACGAAGGACCCGTATGGTGTGGTGGTGAACGCATTATCCCCGGAAGGCGTAATAGCAAGTTCGATACCCACGCAGGCACCTATTGTCCGCAGTTTTGCAAATATATTAGCATCACTTTAGTCGTATTAGTTTATTTGGTATTCATTACCTTAATCAAATCATACCATCGAAATGTGAACAATGAGTTGGATGAAAGGTTTTGAAAGGTTTCATGCTGCAGTGTTCATGTTTTATCATAGGACGTTTTCTGAGTTCTGGTTTGTGACTCAGCTTAGATTCTCATCTTTGTGGCGGTGAGTTGTATTGAATGTGATACTGTAAAATATAGCAAAAATCCACCACATTCTCTTGTTGAACCTAGAGTTTCGCTCAAGCCGAAGAGTATATTGACGTTTCCCTATAAAAAGTCCCAGCTGAGAGAAAATACAAAACACCTGATGTGCACTCTGTGTGCAATGCATTCGTGAGGTGAGAGACCAAGGTGAATAAAGTGGATAAAACCTGGTAGATCTCTTTTTCCCCACACTTTTTGCACTTTTGTTCAGCAAACCAGTGTACCAGGCATTGGGCCAGAAAAGCTGTTCGTTGCACTAAATGGCTTGCAAGAATAGCTACTATTTGTGTAGAAGATATGCGTTCCACAGAAGCTTTTGACGGTGAAAGTCTGTGAAGATGCCTCTACTTGAACAGTGAAACTTGACACTTATGGGCACTTGTTCGCTTTCATAAGATGATGGTTGAATGAGATTTCTTGAGTGTAGCTTGGTGTTCTGCTTTCAACGCAGTTTGCCTTTAGAACGATTTATCAAGTTTTATTGCTTACTATTACCATAATCTTTTACTGATACCCTAAACATTTTTCTTAAGAGCAATTACTTTGCACCTTACCATTTATAAATGCCTGGATTTTACACTTTCCACACAGAATTAGTCTCCACATACCAGTTGCATGCCAGCAGCGATGTTTCCATAAACCTTGAAATTCTTACATAGGTGCATTTGCTTGCCCAAAGTACCCCGTTTTTGCAGAGTTGTACGTTTTTTGTGACCAGCAGTAAAAAGTTTCGGACGATAATTTCAGTGGAGTTCCGATTTCTGATCATATCTGAGCATCATTGTGGATGTATTTCACATAATCTAAATATTTACTGCAACGGTTTATCTATAGCTAGCCTGGTTTGCATATTTTATAGTGTATTTGTAATCGATTTCCTCCCAACGGTTTACCGGCCCATTGTGGCTGGGTGTTCCCTGGTGTCGGGCTGCGTTGTGCAGCGGTGGAACTCCTACTAGTAGGGTCTCCCAAGCAGAGAGGGAGTCGGGCGTTTTCGAAAGGAAGCCCAGCTAAGAGTAAGCCAATGCCAGAATCCACCACCATCCTGGTATCAAACTAGTCGCATGGTGGCAAATCTCCCTCTGATCCACAAGGGCGGCGCCTGCCTGTGGTGGTGACGACCTAGGGCAAACCTTGGCCTGGCTGACTTCGGGGTCCAGGGAACCACAATGGCTAAACCAGAAAAACTGCGAAAAATGGAGATTATGCTGGGGTCCGCACAACCAGTGAGCACGGGCCGTTTAATTAGTTAAGTAAGTAAGGAGTCCAGAGATAGCTAATTGAGAGTTTTCCTAACTGTTACGCAGGCAATTTCGTACTCGTATGAATCTGAGGGAGTTGCTACCAGGGTGATATGATTTCTGCCATTTTTTGACTTATAGCTCGGGTTTCACTTGAAGATGTGAGCTTTTAAAATAAGGATGCCTTGCTTGATGGCAGTATCTTCGCAACCGTAATGCATTAATTTTTCTCCACGTGTTCTCTAAAAGCTAATTAATGAAGTATTTTACATAGTCCGGAAACCGTTGACAGTGTCACTTTTAATGTACTTAATGTACATGTACAAGTACTTTAATGTACAATGTACGCTACTATTGTGGCTATATTTATTCCCAAGGCCGACTTTTCACTAATCTCGGCATTGTTCAATAAGTCAGAGTTTTGTTTCTAAGCAGACACGAGGTTGTGGATTACCAGATCCATGCAATACTGGTTGGCGCTTCGGCTATTTCGAATCCTTTAGAGTCTGGAATGGTTAAATTGGCATGCAATCTTTTCAAGCAAACATGGTCATAAATCAAGCAGGTAGAACTAACTGCATACATAAATAGATTCTTTTAAACACTCGCTGTTTTGTTCATTGTAAGTCTTCCATTTTTGGTGGATACCAGCAACATATAGTATTGTTACATGGGTGAGGAATGTGCCAAGCTCAGGTCAAAAAATCATCTTAGGGTATGGAGCGAGGTCTCGCGTAAACATAAGGCACTCCTCTTCGCATTTCATCTTTTGAATTGACCCAAAACACTTCAACAGTTTTTAGCCCCGTTGCTCTAGTTTCCTGTGTTAGGATGTTGACTTTAGCTTCTAAATCAGACCGTTGAAAAATGAACCGTCAAGAAGAGTGCCTAGTGATCGCGAATTATATCGCGCCATACCTCTGATTTTTTGACATGGGCCAGTGAGATCCCACCGCCATGTAACACTCTGTGCTGCTGGTCTCCAACAGTATTTGGAACATTTATAAAGAACAAAACAATAGGTGTTTAAAATAAGCTTTTTGTATGTGCAGTTTTTTCTGTTTGGTTGAGCGGATTGTATGCTAATTTGATCTTTCCAGACTCCGAAGTAAACGAATCCGCCGAAACGTCGGTGTTGATTATTCAATAGAGAATAAAACCTATTTTTGACACCCTCGTGCTTGCTCAAGAATAAAACGCTTGACTGTGGTTATCCGTGCCATTATCACCGCTACATCAATATTTTTGGACGAATGCTGGTAGAAAACCATCATTTGACTAAGTATGTGTCATTTCCTGAATTGATATGCTGCTATAGTAGCGTGGCGTACAATAAAGTGATCACATGCTGCTTGCCGTGTTAGTAAAGACAAGATGATGATTCCAACTTTTTGATACGCTTTTGTGTTTCGGTATAGTGGTTTAGCATCGATCATGTTTGACGCTCGAAATGGTTTTTTAGTGGGGATTGTTATGCGTTAAGGAAACCATAGAAGTCTTTATATTAAATCTTAATAAAACTTTTTAATAAACCAAAAATGCCTACCATGTGAAGCTGCGGCATGTCTTTTACCAAAAATTTCCTGCCAAGAATGATCAGTGGTGTTATCAATATCGGTTGTTCGTTTTATTTTGTAAATACGTAAATACTGTAAGTACTTAGTTTCATATTTCAGAGTACCAAAAGATCGCTGTTGCAACTGCCATCGGTTTTGCAATTATGGGTTTCATCGGATTCTTCGTGAAGCTCATCCATATACCTATCAACAACATCATCGTCGGAGCTTGAACTCTGCGATCATGTCAAGCCGCTTGTGCAAGCTGTTTGCTGTGGATCATTTCAGTTTTTTCTTTACGACTGATCTTTTACCGTTATCTGTGATTGTCACTGGAGAGGTCTAATAACTCTTTACAATTACACTACAATAAAATGTATAGTACCACCGAATGCACGTGTATTGTTTTAAGGTTTCTCCGAAACTCTATAGAGCGGGTGCCGTTTTCTTTGAGAATTATAAGTATTCTTCGACAACTGTCAGAATGTGCTGTTGACAGTGTTCAGAGTGGCTTTGGTTCTGCAGCACCTTTGGAGCTACTCTATTCTCGACCTATTTTTCGATGGTAAAGTTGGTCGTATTGGTGTCCGGAAAGCGTAAATCTGGCAAGGATTTCTGTAGCGAAAAGTTGAAAACTGCTCTATCACCTTTACGAGTCTCAATATATGGTGTTTCTCATAGTTTGAAGGCTATTTATGCCAAGAACCACGGTGAGTGCACGTAATTGGGAATTTGAAGATGAAACAAGGTGTACAAATCTGGCTTATTAGGTCAGAGTTCTAGGTACTATTTAGCGCTTAAGCCATCTTCAATGGTTGTCCATTACTTTCCAGTTCTTGCTTGAATACTTGGATGACCCGTCCTCACTGGTTGTGCAGGCACCAACACAATTTCCATTTTTTCGGAGTTTTGCTGGTTAAGCCACTGTGGTTCCCTGGAGTCCCGAACCTGACCAAAGTCTGCCCCAGGTCGTCACCGCAACAGGCAGGCGCAGCCCTTGTGGATCAGAGGGAGGTTCTTCACCACTCGACTAATTCGATGCCAGGACGGTGGTGGACCGTGGTATTGGTTTACTCTTAGATAGCCTTCCTGATGGAAACGCCGGACTCCTTCTCAGCTTGGTAGACCCTGCTAGGGGAATGAATCTCCCGCTGTACATCGCAGTCCAACACCCAGGAACACCTCTCACCCACGATGTGGCGGTAAACCGTTGGGAAGTATAGTTTATTATACAACTTGCAACTTAAATCATGTACACTTTCTCCATACTTTGTATAATCTTTGCAACCTCTGAAACAATCGGCGGCTTTACGTTGGGTTAAGGCAGAGGTAGGATATTCCTAAAGTCGTTCGAATACAACCACGGTTTATTTGATTTCATCATGTCTAAGGTTATCACCACGTGTCCGGAAAAGAAATTCGGCTTTCGTAATTTGGACGAGCATTAGATCTTATTTATTGAAATAGACGTCATTAGAACCTACGGATCATTAGGGGAATATACAAGTCTTCCTACTGTACCATGACAAAATCGTGGTTTTGTATAGTCCACAAGACGCAGTTCTTTCATCGTAGCTCGTAATTAGCGTGCAAAATGTCTGAACAAGCAAGATTGATTTCCTGTATAAGACATGCCATTGAAGTTTACTTCTAAAGCGGTTGCTTTTAAGACTTCAAAATTCACAGCGCTGTCTATTTTGTCTCGAAAATTTGAATGCTAAAAAATAAAGCTAGGGGTGGAATTTTGGAAAAGTTATCGGATTTAGAAAGTAGTTTCTGCTATAACTGTCTCACTCTGTCAAGTTCTAAACTCGTTTGAGCACTTCAATTGTCGAAGAATCATTGGGAGATTTTAAACGACAGGTACTTCTACTTGATTTCCACTCGGACAATGGATAATATAGAATGAGCGCGAATAAATGCCTATATTTCGTCCATATATACCGTGAAGCCGTCTAACGAATGCCGATTTACCTAGACAAGAGTTCGAGGAGTTCCAAAAGCGTAGGAGAACATGTGGAAGCACGCCAAGGTCACTAAGGTAGCAAAAGAGCAGAATTACTAAAAACGTATCCGGAGGAACCATATTATGGAGCGAAATGTAAGTCACAGGTCATGATCATTTGCTAGAGAAACAATTTAGGCGACACGAATTGGTGCCAACTCATAGCGAGTCCACTGAAAAACGAGGCAACAAAAAGATGTAGTAGTTATGCTGATTTAAGCGTCGTACTCTAGGTTTTAACTAGCAAACTGCATTATTGTTCATTTAGATTTTTCCAGCTTATTTATTTAATGACGTTCTTAGCACTGCTTTTTGGACGAGATTCGATTCTTCTAAGGTCTCGATTATTCTGAACTGATCTCAAATGGTCCCTATAAGGAGTTACACCGTTTGAACATGATTAAATGGGGTGAGAGAATACGTTCTGTGGAACCAGATTTCTTCTGTAGGTTTGTGCAATGAAACGTTGTTCAAAGTGTGATCATGTCTGTTCCTGATCAGTTCTTAAGTGTTTTCAGAGCTACGATCCCTTCTACTTGTAATGATGACGTTGTGATAATTTCGGACTGCAGGAGACCAACAGATATTGAATACTTTAAGAGCAACTATCCGATCCTCACAGTTCGTGTGGACGCGAGTACTGAAGAGAGAGAGCTACGAGGTTTCAGGTTCGTTCAGGGCATCGACGACATGCCGTCCGAGTGTGGCCTTGACAGTTATGTGCACGATATCGTTTTGATAAACGACAACTCATGCAATTTAACGGATCAAATTGATGATGTGGTTGTCACTATACGACAGATAATAGGATCATAGGCATTCGGTGCTTTAAGGTTTTCACGTAGGTGCTGAGTTTATTTGCATTATGAGTGTACACTCAATTCTGGGTTTATCCACGATTCTTTAGAATGTTGTATGTTGGCATATGTTTTTGTTGTCAAATACTAGTTGTTGCGGTCTCCTGTTTGATACTGGTAGATAAGTCTAGTAGCGAATAGACGTAATCCCTCCCTAAGAAATGGGACGACTCGTTTAGGTGCTAATAATCTCGTTTCTCTCTATTATAGTAATGTCTTCCCAACTTGTCTCTAGTTTTTATTCCGTTCTTTTTTGGTTTTCTTTGTTCTTGTTATCTTTGTTCATTCCACTGGAAAAGAACCAAAATGAATGAATGATTTACTGATGCACAAATTTGGAGCAGCGAAGAAGAGTTAATGTAAGAACCGTTGATTGGCCACTTATCCATAATCCATGTAACGGTGCACTGGTGGATCGAATATCGTAGTAGAATAAATCAAGGTTACAGCCATACGGAATCAGAAGAGGGGCAATCACCTACAACCGATCACCGCTTCATTTAATTCCGTGAAAAATTTCGTTAAGATTCAGGGAGTGATAAGACATTAACTCCTGAAGATAGCAGACGACAAGAAGATAAAGAGAAGTACGTTTTTTGCGATAGCTCTTGACTTTTAAGATAGAGGATAAAAAGGATAAAGCTCATGGCGTTGATCAATCCTTAAGGGATGAACGTGAATTCGACTTCATTAATCATCGTTTGGAGGTGATTGAATGCATATCTGGCCTTTACAATCTCGCGGAGGCCTGCCGATGTATCGAGCCAGTGCTGCTATCCTCCCGGACAGATATGGTACCAATTTGCCGACCCCGGAGGAATGGAGGGCCTGGTGGTCCATGGACGCGAGGGTCGATTCCACGTGTGTTGCGGGGCGCCTCCGGCCACTACGCTACATGCGCCCTTTAGTCCCACAGTTAGTATTGCCACGAATTTCTGTCTCTCACACTTGTGGAAGTAAACTTGTGAGTGATTAATCAACAACGAGAGCACAGCCATCCAGAAAACTTTAGATGACCAGTTCTATTTCTGATCACCTTACCAGGTTAACTAGATTGATTCCAAATTAACACCTGGAGATTAAATGACCAACCTTCACGGTTCAGAAAGAATCATGAGAGTACCAACAAAATCACCATTCGATTGGTAATTTCATAGTTGATGAAGATCTTCGTTCCTCAGAGCATCAAAAGCAATTCTATGGTCTCCGCATCGTTGCCACTTACCAGCTCGTAACTTGTTTCAGAGATGCCAGTAAGTCCTTGCACTGATTCACTTTTACCTATGTTTTCAGGTAGAAGTGTTGAACTCTTCAACTTTGGAGACCGTAGAAAAGTGCAGGCCTTGCTGTACATCTCAATTCTATACTTAATAGCCCACTATGAAGTACAAGGAAACGATAAAAGTGCAAATGTGATGATGACCTTCGTGGGTGCAGTATAGGAGGAAAATGAGGTCGGGCCATACAAAGGAACGAAATTTGTAAATGTAGTATTCCCTTACATGGTGGAGAAGAACGTTTATTTGACATAAGATGAAAGCCCATGTAGCAAAAAATGTATCATTACAACATTATATCAAGTCGAATAACTGGAACTTCTTCCTACCATGACACATAAAAAGAACTTCATTATAATCAGTTTGAATAGAAGATAACTATAAACAACAGTTCAAATTCACGCCTGTTTTGGCTCTAAGCAAGTTGCTTTTGAAACAAGAAAGTTGGGAATGACATGAACTTTAACAGGATGCCTTTTTACATCTTCTACCTTTTTACAAAGCCTTGTTTTAGCATTTCTACATACTGACTTGGGTGAGTAAAGGGGACAAATATATCGTTAAGGAAAGAGTCATCATCGCTTATCTCGTCGACAATATCCATGCTTTTTGTGTGCGCTACCTTTCTTTTTACTCCTGAAATACGAAAAACACCAAGTGCAATTAAAGGAAATCAAGAATTGTTTGACTCATACCTACGTCTTTAATAGCGCCATTGTCCATTGTTTGGTATCGCTTGAGTGAGGTGCTAAACGACATTAACCACATGTGGATAAAGAGTGAATAACGTGATAAAGTTCATGGTTCGTTGTAAACATGACACGGAAATCTTCATGGCAAGGTCTAGTGTGAAATACAACCATAACGATGCTGAGATATTCGCAAAACTTGGACCCGGTACAGATCGAACCATGATTATCCTTTACGAGAAGTCGCGTATTACACAGTGTACCACTGAGGCCCTTGCTTTGCGTTTCTCGGCTAATTGTCTACATAACGCTGCCATCAGTAGTCACTCGAGCAGACACCCGTAAAAGGTAATCGTAGTTCGACCTGGCCCGGGGTCCAAGTTTTGCGAACATCTTAGCATCGTTGGGGTTGTATTTCGCATCATATCTGTCGTGAAAAATTATAGTAGGCAGGAAATCAAAGGTAAACATCACACAGAAATTTTAGCTGACTACGAATAAGAGCTATGGAAGTTGGCCACTAACGTTTTTGGAGTGCTTGTGAAAAACTGCGGTGGTTGTGAACGAGCCATTGATGGAGTGAGCACAGTAACTCTGAAAAGAACCTTGCCTTTACTAGTTCAGAAAACAAAGTTGTAATTGAGAAGTGTTACTCCATACATACATTTTTCCTTTTACTAATGGTAAGGACGAAATAGGTGAAATATTCGGTGAGCATTGCTGTATTGCTTTAAGAGGATCAGAGTGTGGATTCTGAAAATATGGCGTTGTTGTTACAAGCTAGAAAAGCGAGAATAAAGAAAATAGTCATACTTCGAGATCCGGTTTCCCGACTACACTGCTGTCCTTCTCACTGTTCAAACGCTGTCGTAATTTCACTGAAATTGCAAAAATATTACAAGGATACAAAGATTCCCTTTTCTTTTTGTAAACTAATTACCCCTCCTAACGGTTTACTGCCTCGTAGTGGCTGGGACGTATTCCTGGGTGTCGGGCTGCAATGTACAGCGAGGGGATTCATTCCCCATCAGGGTCTCCCAAGCTGAGAAGGTGTCAAGCGGTTTCATTAAATAGTCCTGCTAGGAATAAAGCAATGCTAGGAGTCACCACCATTCTGGTATCAAATTAGTCGCACAGTGGCAAATCTCCCTCTGATCCACGAAGGCGGTGGCTGCCCGTGGTGGTGACGACCTGGGGCAGACTTTGGTCTGGCTGAACTCAAGACTTCAGGGAACCCCAATTGCTAAGTCAGCAAAACTCCGAAAAAGTTACAGTACATTACAGTATCCAAGTAGGTAAATAATTACCAAGTGATGCTTTTCCAATAGCAAGACCTTCTTCCATCGACAAACATTTCTCGGACGAGATTGTGTTATTTTCGTCCGAGCTAAGTTGTTCAGTTCTCAATCTTCTCCGTCTCAACAGTTTACTCACTTGATGACATCGACGTGGTGTAGCCGGAAATTTCAACCATTTAGCAGAAAAGAAAAACACATGACTAACAACTTATGGACAACAAGTAACACTATACTAATAAAACGTACCGAAGTGGCGTTATCATGTGATACACTGTTGATTAAATTTGTAGTCGTATTACCATCTCCTCCACCATACTGTTTGACGTCTTCCTGCGGTGAACTATCACACCAGAGAATGTCGAAATCTGATGTTGACGGTGTCCCTATAAAAAAGCTTTGAAACTGTCCATTCGTTGTCAGAGATAATTCTGAACAAAAAGTACAGAGACCATGGATCAGTCTATGAAAGACTGTAGAATTATAATTAATTACCTGTGTAATCAGATCCCTCAAGAGTTTTACACTGCTGTCCAAGATCTCAACTAAAGCTAAACCTATTACAACAGAGATGCCTTGCTAATTACGGCTGTTTTTTCGTTGAGGAAAGTAAAAATAAGGGACTTCTACCAAATGTGCCCCAGAAGTTAATGTCATCTATGCCCAGAAATTGATGTCGCGTCCCATGACATAACCCTGTATACACGACGTACGACGGAACAAATGGAGATTCAGATGAAACCTAAGTTTCTTGATGATTAGTGGAGTTAGCGGTGATATACACTTGTAACTATGCCTGCAGAAATCGCAAAGAATTTTTCAAAGGATCCCATATTTCTCACAATTCATTTGAAGAGTACCACCATAGCTATAAAATCTCGCAGTAACCCTTCAAAGACCTATCACAAAGAATGCGATATTTCTCGTGTATTAAAGCCGGTAAACATGTCAACACTACTGCCCTCCATACATTCGAGTTTCCATGGACATGGCTTTGTTCTCGACCAGCATCAATGACGCTTCAACCTTAGCTAAATGACCGAGAGAAATAGGGAGCTAACCAATAGGTGAAAAAGGTGTACACGCATTCATATACGACCCAATGTATGAGTGATGACAAGGAACAAACTTCCAGGTAGATACGTCTTCACATGTATGACAAATCTTCAGATGACCAACTGCTACCGAGGTTCGGTACTACGACGACGTGATTGAAACGAAACATTCCCTTTCTTCGTACACTTTTAAAAGATCGGAGCTGAATCAGTGGTATGGCGTAAGATAAGTAAATGAAACCCACCTAAATAACAAGTGGGCAAGGCTCTTCGATTGCTAAGATCTTTTTTCACATATAAATCTTCCAACAATAATTATCATTTCTCTTTCACAATAAAGGAGGATGTTTAGAAAAAATGTGCTGGCTACTTTCAATGTTCACCTTGTTGAGAAGTAGTTGAATGCATATCTGGCCTTTAAAATGATTCGCTGTGGCCTACTGATCTATCCATTTAGTGATGTTAGCCTTCCTGATAAGTCTGGTACCAACACGCCGATCGAGGAGGGATGGAAGGCTCGGTGAGCCTGAGGCGGGGGGATCGATCCCATGTGTATTGCACAGTGTCTCCGACCACTGCGCTATACGCGAGCTCGTCTTAGCAGGATTAATACAGAGACTAAACATGCCTATTAGCATAGATGTGATCTGCATTCATCTCTGCAAGATTCTTCCAGAGATAAAACAATCTTAACGGCAAACGTTTGTAAAACCAACGGATCATTCGAGAATGGACACTGTGAAAGGGGCAAAAACACTGCAACAGAAAACGAATAAGAGAAAGGTGCTGTGCAAAATATCACAATATCGGTTATGATCACATGGGAGTAAGACTTATTCTTCTTCCCATGTACTAGATTAGAGATATCTCAACAAAATTCGACCTGTACCTTATATCCAGTAAGGAGGATCACATCACCGTCACTAAGATTACGTTGTAGAGAAAAAGAAGCAAAAAGACGTGCTCAAAGGGAGAAATCACTGCGAAGCCCACTTAGCTCCTTCGCCTTTTCCGCGTCAAGACTGGACTTTCGAAAGTGACACCCAAGGGAAAAGCAGAATTCCCTTCAGGAAGACATGATAGTGTTCCCCACCTCGAATACTCTAGTGAGGGAGAAGTCGACTCCGATGGGTTAAAAAGACAGCTTCATAGGCAACGGTTCAATAGGTATGTGGAACACCTCATGCATTTTCAAGAATATGAACCTCACTCTGCGCTCAGCTGAACTGCTGTCATAGAATTCCGCCGTATAACCACCATTACGAGCACAGACAGCGCTGAAGATCTACAGAAGCATAACGCCTCTACTGATCAGATGATCTGTAGCTAGTTGTTCTGTGTGTAAAATAGACAGTCACATTGGCCTAAATGAGGAAATTCCAATATTCGATGAAAAAATCATATTAAAGGATAGAAGATAAAGCTCTCGGCGTTGATCAATTCCTGAGAGACATGAATTCAACTTCATTAAACATCGGTGGAGGTAAATGAATGCATATCCGCTCTTTAGAATGACCCTCGGTAGCCTATTGATTGTCGAGCCACTGCTGCTTCCTCCGGGAAAAGTCTGGTACCAACTTGCCGACCGCGAAGGTATGGAAGGCTTGATGTGCCTGGAGCGCGGGGATCGATCCCATATGTATTGCAGGGCGTCTGCGACCACTGCGCCACACGCATCCATGGCGACCTTATCTAGGACCTACTTAAGACCTTTAGACTTTGTTTAGCGACCTAATTTAAGTAAAGGAAAGTAATCAGTGTAAAATAAAGGTCGTGAGAGCATCTGTACTCGTTGAGTGCACCCAACAAACTTCTCTTAAAGACTGTCACGTGCAGCATTGATTATGCATGGATTAAATAGATAAGGTAACCATAAAGAATGTAGTCTTAAAGAAACGAACCAGTAACTAAAGACCGCGAAGGCGAGAAATCGGCGCTTCGAGCCTTCACTAGACGACCGCTACCAGGCATTTTTGCCTGAGAGGCCAAGAAGACCTTCGGAGAATCATACCATTCGATTAGTCCTGTAACGGTATTTCGCCGTATCTGCTGCCATGAAGAAAAAATGTCATAAAAGGAAGATGAATAGAATTTGTATAAGATTAATAGAAAAAAAACACCTGCATACTCGGACGAATGATTCTCAGTAGATGGTGGAACTGATGCATTTGCATTTTCTCGTGACATCTACAAAACTGACTTGTAAACTGACAATACTCACTGATAAAACGCAGAAAATCAAACGATTCATCATTTTACATGTCTAGCAAGATCTACATACGAACTGGAAAGGACGTAATAAAGTGGGAAGTGACTTATTTTGTCTTTACGTTAAACATGTAACATTTTTGAAACAACGGAAATGCAAAGCCCGTATCACCTTCGTGATGAACGCGCTCCAAACGAAATCCATGCTCCAAAGTCAATTTGTAGAAGCGCAAATAGCGCAGCGGTGAGAGGAGCCGTTGAATACAAGTGGGATCGATCTTCGCGCGCCAGGCTGACCAAGCCTTCCATCCCTCCGGCGTCGAAAAATTGGCACCAGACCTGTTTGGGTGGATAGCAGCACTGGCTCGAAACATCGGTAGGGCACCGCGAGTCATGGGCTTCATGCTTTAAAGCCATTTTGTCTTGACCAGTTGGTTCGAAATCGTTCGTCGTCGATGTTTTTTTTTTGGTAGATGGCTTGGAGTTCGATCTGAATTGACAGTGATTTCATTTCACATGGCTAGTTTTAGATGATCAACGTTCAGGATTTGCCAATCGACATTCACAGCAACAAGTTATTAGGTAAAAGTATTTCATCAAACCAAACTGAGCAGGAAAACCCTTGAGGGTTTACCCAATAAGACAAAAGGTTTCAGATTGGCTAATCAGTCGCCGTCATTGTCAGAAAGATTGGCAGAAGAACGTCCTAGTGGTGCGTGAGAAGATTAAGAATGCCATCCTTGATATGCCGGAATCTGATGAGATTGTCGAACTTCTTCAAGGAGCTTGTAGGTCGCACTGGTACATTATTGTTTGACAATCACGGAAAGAAGTTCTCCTTCAGATATAAATTACTTCCATTGTCTGCGTATTGTTGAGGTTCTGCAGGACACAGAAAAGGGCACGAAGAACTTCCTAGGGTACTACTCGTCTCAGCGAATGAAAGATTGGCAGGTACTGATAATTTTGGTAGTGGCAACTTCTAATAATGGTTTGAGGAAGATCAGCACGGACTTCTTAGCGCCGTGCTTTACCATGTCAGGCGAACCATCTAGCGTTCAATTTTGACATGTTATTAAATATTAGGCGAAAATTAGGCTTCTGCAGGACTCAGTGGATAAAAGTCTCGTGACTTCGTTATTAATATAAGGATTACTCTATAGTTCGGGTAAAATTTTTCCCTTTATGGTGGCCTTCCTTTTATTTTTGGCGGCTTAAGGAATCGATTTTATAAAGAGTGTCGGAAATTCAGTTCTGTTTCAGGAAATCCAGTCTCTATACAAGAAAAATAATTTATATCTTGCCGAATCGGCTCAGGTAGACTTCTTTCCATCTAGTATATTGCGCTGCTTTTTTTAATTAAAAATATGATAGAAAACTTTGCTACCTACAGATTCTGCAACGAGTAGTGCAATATGAAATACCAGCTTTGAAGAGACAAATTACGAAGGCGGAACAAGCTTTGGAGGTTCGTAGGCCAATTTCCGGCTAGCACTAGTTTGGCAAATTGTAAAGCAAGCCATTTTTCCAAGTTCATTTGTTCAGGAAAGCGTGGGAAAGGAAAAGGTTTATTCTAAGCAGGTAGAGGACAGTAAAAAGGCGTATGAAAAGGAATTGACTCGATTGGGGATCCAGGTTTGATCGTTCTTGGCTTTACGATCATTGTAGGGAAAACAGCTGCAGTAATTTTTTAAGGGTCATTCTCTTCGCGCAGAGCTCCTTGCGTTGGCAGCCGATCTTCCTACGTTTTTCGCGAAGCTGGCTGATGAAATCGTTCGTCTGAGAGAACCACATGAGTACTACGTTGCTTTCAGACACTACGTCCACCAGTAAGTTATCATTGGGAATAATTTCTATAATTAGTACGAGAAAATGTGTAACCCTTTTAGACGAAATGATTCGCAAGTGAAGCTGTTACCATTGGTCAATCTCATCATGCGTAAAGGTGTCCAAGCGACGACTTTTGAGTACAAATATGGCGTGGCTCCAGATAGTGTCGAGACACCGTCGTACGATCTCTTGTTAAAACAAGACAAGGTGGTCAGAACGTCTATATTCTTCAAAAAGTTTTATTTTGCCGCGGTTATTAAAGTTACCAATGCCATTCTATTTAAACTTACTTGGTTACCTGAATGGCCCGCCTTCACTGGTTTAGTCCATTTCAACTGTGAGTAAATTTTTTCCGAAGAATTTCAAGCGTTTATTAACTAATGTGTATCATAGCAGTCCTCCCAATGGTATACCGCCCCATCATGGCTGGAGGTGTTCCTGAGTGTCGGGCCGCGATCTACAGTGTGGGGATTCGTCACCCCCGCAGGGTCTCCCAAGCTGAGAAGGAGTCCGATGTTTCCATCAGGAAGCCCGGAAAAGAGTAAACTAATACTGGGATCCGACACCGTCCTGGTATCATACTACTCGCATGGCGGCAAATCTCCCCTCTGATCCACAAGGGCGGCGAGTGCCTGTGGTGGTGACGACTTGGGGCAGACTTTGGCTAGGCTGACCTCACGACTCCGGGAAACCACAATGGTTAAACCAGCTATACACCACGGAAGTGGAAATTTTTCTGAGGCCCGCGCAACGACCGAAGACGGGCTATCCAAGTATCTAAGTAAGTAAGTATCATAACAGTTATTTTCAATTTAGAAGGCAACAAACGATGACATCGATTTTTGTGATGACGGCATCGATTTCGGCGATGATGAGACTAGAGAGTTTTCGGGCGAAGACGTCCACATTGACGTTGTGGCAGACTCAAGTGGTTTCTACTTCTGTTGTTGTTATTTACTGCGTTGTTGTAGGTCAGCGATTCTTTTGCACATGCAGTTCGTACATCTCTCTGCAGGTCTTGTTGTTGGAGCTGTAGCGCGTGGTGAAGATGCACTCGGTGTGTTAGAAAATCTAAGTACTCAAAACGTGATTAAAAATGAACTTGAGGAGGTGGGTTATAGTGTTCATTTATGTTTCAATTTTGGTAGTTAAGAGCTTAACCGCGCTATCCACGCTCTAATTTTCAGTTGATGGCTTTTCTTGTGATGCGTAAGGAAGATGAGGAACGCGATACTTCATCGGATATGTTCATTCAGGGTTTCGAGAAAAGACCTTCTGAGATAAGTAAGGTCAGGTTGCTTCCCTACTCAGTACTTCCAGTTTTCAAGGGTTTGAAATGTGTATAGTTTGAGCGTTAAAAAAAACTTTAGTGCTAAATTTACAGTCACTGTTGAGATTTATCCTAACCGAGTAGAAGCATTCCACGCCTATCGCGGACAAAGGGGTAGTGGTGTCGGAATATTTATTCACCTTATTTTAGTGCGTTTAGATAAGTCCATCTAAGTTGGTTGAATGGATATCACAAGTAAAGGCAATACATAATCAACTTATGGATCCGCAAAAGAACTATTTATTTCACATCAGATCCTCGCCGCAGTAAGTTGCTTTTTTACAAGGGTCTCACTAAGAATATACTAGTTTTCTACAGTGGTGTTATCAAGACTACAAATAACACTGATGAGGATAGTGCAGTAGTTAGAAGTACCGACTTGCACACGATCATTGGTAAGATCACGCGTTCGGGACAAATTAAGCTAGCTCTCCCCTTCCCTCCATTCCTCGCTGATTCCGTCTAAGTACGGAGAATTGGTATCGAACTGGTTTGAGGAGGTAAACATGCTAACTTGTTGCATCAGTAGGCCCACGCAAATCGTAATATAAGTTAAACATGCATTCCGCCATCTTTGTGAGGTTAACTGGAGTTGGATGCATGATAATTACATAAGGGAGAGCTTAACCCAGAGCGCTTGTATTCTTTGTACAAGGAACGAATTCATAAGGTTTGTATAAAGCGTAGTTCTGTGACGTACACAGTTTTCAAGTAAGAATGCCTATAATTTTCATTCTAGGTATGTTGAGAAACTCGTTGAAGAAATAGAATCGAAGAGAGAACAGGAGGGCCGCTATAAAAAGTATGTATTCTCAAATGTCTCTATCACTTTTGTATGAGCTAGAATCTTCGACATCTAAAAGTTAAATTGCGATAAGGGTGGTATTTTCTATGTTGGTTCAAGAGTTGATATTGAGGATGCAATCGCTGATGGTTGAGAAACAAAATGAAGCTCGGAAGCAGATTACGAACGCTAGTCAGAATTTACAAGCGGTTCTGAATTCGACGAGGTTACTTCAAAAGCAAGTGCGTAGTTGTTTCAAAGTACGATTTCAACACTTCGGACACGATGGCTGACAGTTTCTATTCTGTCATTGTGACTATGGAGCCCAATTATAATGATGCTGAGACGTCTGCCAAACTCCGCACCGCTGGTGTCTATGGTGGAGACCAAACACGAGATTACCCTGTTTTGTGCTCCCCAGATCAATTCTATTGGTGGTGATTGCTGATAGCACCTATAAGTCAATAACACGGTTGAGAGAAAGAGGAAACGAAGGACTCGCATAGTGTAGTGGTGAACGCGTTAGCCACCGGTAGGGATAATATTGTGTTCGGTCCCTAACGCTGACACCAGCGGTCGAGTTTTGCAATGTAACACCCTGTCATGACAGAATAAGCAGTAAATAAAAAGTGACAACTCTGAAGTCTGTTTCAGGTGGTTATTTATGTTTTTCAGCTAGAAAAAGATATTTCCATGAAGTATGATGGTCGAAAAGTGCACATAGTGGGAGGAATCACAGCAGCGCTTACCAACCGCTAACACTTGTCTCTGTCTCTTAACCCAGATTTTCGCACTGCCCAAATCCCGTTCATGTTGTTAGCGAGAACTGTGATTCAAGTATTGTCGTACACGACATGATCCGTCGATAAAGAGTTAGGTAAACTGTGTTAACGTTGTTCTTATTATAACAGTTTCGTTATTCTTTTGTTTTTGTAAATGTTATGACATAGTTTGTGTTCTATGACCAGTGTGGATGAATAAATATACTTGGCTGTCTTCGTTGTTAACAAATTCCCACACTGTTTTATTATTCAAACTTATTTCAACCTCTCAACGGATTACCGCCTCGTCGTGGTTGGGAAGTGTTCTTGTGTATCGGGTTGCGATGTACAACGGGGGATTCATCCCTCCCCGAAGGGTCTCCCAAGCTGACTGAAAAGGAGTTCGTCGTTTCTATCAGAAAATCCAGCTAAGAGTAAGCCAATAACAGGATCCGCCCGCCACCGTCCTTTTATCAAGCTAGTTGCATTCTGGCAAATCTAATCCACAAGGGCGGTGATTGCCTGTGGTGATGACGACATAGGGGAAACTTTGGCCAGGTTAACCTCGGAATTCCTGGGAACCATAATGGTTAAACCTTCAAAAATCTAAAAAAGTGGAAATTATGTTGGGGCCCAATGAGTGATGGCGGGCGACCCAAGTATTTCGACGAGGCCTTGTTCCACACAGCGATATACTTTGGTTTCTAGTTGTGGTATGAGGTCCTTGAAGTTGGTGAAGCACTTGTTCCCGAGGAATCTTCCATACCTTTGGAAATATCTAAGTCAGATGGCATAAAGTCTGATGTTTACTTGTGGACCACGGGAGACATGTGTCCAAGTGTTATCATGAAGGAAACAATCCGAGCTACTGTTGATTTCCTCTCGTTCACAGCGCCCGCCATCCAACGAAATTAATTTGCATATATGTTTGGATCGAGTCGGGTCCCCATTATTCGAAGGCAACCAAGGAACGGTGGAGATGTAAGACCTGCCTCTGATGAACCCACAGCTTTTCAAGTGGTGAGCTAGAGGCATCGCGCGTGAGTGTAGCAAGGCATCCAGCTATTGCTCCTTAGTACTATGTTCTTTTGAACATCTTCCTTTGCTGACAAGTAACAGCCACTGGCAGAATGACAACCGAGAGCTTTGATTGGGTCAGTAAGTTGATGTGGGGACCACTGAGGTACCAATGTCGTGCACGGATACGGGCCAGTACCGATTGACACGTACTCGCGTTCGAGTGGCGTTCCAGGTAGTGGTGCAGTTAGTCGTCGAAGAAGCAGCGTCATCCCTGATATGTGTTGGTTTCAATACGCGTCTTACAGCCACCAAAGCATTAGCACTGGAGGAACACAGCGAGACCGGGTGCACGATCCCATGGACTACGGCGAGACGCACGAGTGTTTCCAGGTGATCAGTCGCACTCCACATTGTGTTACACTGGTTCATCTCTACTTTTTCTATATCCTTTTCAGGGACCATTATTTTAGAACTTACCAAATGGAACATACGTGGGTCAAAACGTGGTTTGAAGGAAGGAAATAGATCTTACCCAAAGCTCTTCACTGTTTTCGTGCTAACCTCGTTGGATAGAAAGTATGACTTACAAGAGCCCGTTGTCGATAAGAATGAAGAATTCTCAGTTGGAAATTTTCCAGATGTATTTTTAAACTCTCTGAGCTTTATTCACTGCCTTTTCCTTTGTCATAGCGGGATATTTCGTAAAGTACAACCAAAAGATGAAGCTTTGGCGTCGATCAATCTCTGAGGGATACGCCATGCATTGGACTTCGTTAAGCATCGTTTGGAGGTGATTGAATGCATATCAGGCTTTTACAATGACTCGCGTTGGCATTCCGAAGCATTCCGCCAGAGCTGCTATCCTACTAGGCAGGTCTAGTACCAATTTGCCGACCGTGGAAGGATGGAAGGCTTGGTGAGTCTTGAGCAGGGGGATCGGTCTCATGTATATTGCAGGGCGTCTCCGACCACCGCGCCACACACACTCTGTTTTTTATTATTATTATTTACTGTATCTTACATTGCATTGTCATGCCATTATTCTTGTTCTACTTACTTATTTCTTTATTTATTTGTTTCTTTTTTTTAACCAGCCTCGTATTAGCCTATCGGTGAAAAATGTGAATTGAGTGGAGTTCATTTATCCCAGTATATGAACAGCATTGGGATATGAGCAAAACTCGGAACCCCGGGTGAACTTCGAACCCGCGATTACTCATTCCGGCGGTTCACGTGTACCCACTGCATCACTGAGGCCTTTACTTTGTCTTTCTGTCAACTAGTTCATTAGTCTAACGGCACTGTCAGCAATCATCCGTCAACGGGATTAATCTGGGGAGTACAAATCAGCATTGAACCTGGTTAAGTTGAAGCTGCAGTCGAAATCACCAGTTTTTTTTCTTCATGGCCGTCGATAAATGTTTGCTGTTATGGCATCGTTACAGTAAAGGAAAACTTGCTAAGAGAAATATAGACCAAGGGCCTCGGTTGGTGTGGTGGATAACACGTGAGCCTCCGGTAGGTGGTGTTCGCTGGTTCGAAGCCCAACCAAAGTACCGAACTTTGCTTATATCTCAGCAGCCTTATAGTTGAATTTTTAAGCTCTTTTTTCTTTGTCTACACAATTTTTCGAATAACAGGATTCGCTTCAGTCTTTTCCTATAACTCTAGATGTTTGCGACCTAAACTTTTCTTTGGACAGAGAGCTTCCGTATAGACATTTCCTGAGTACTTGGTCAATAGGTGTGGCAAGTATGATGGAGCAAATCGATTGATTTCTCAGTACATCATGCCGACCATAAGCACGGTATCTGAGGAAATCATGTTCGACGACAAGGAGGATCGGCAAGCCTGGAACACTTACGTCACTGATTTATCCCGCGAGTGTCCCTGATCACATTTGTTTTGATGTTCAGACGCTACTTGTTTTTGTGTCTCTCACTATTTCCTCCTCTACAGATCATTTTCCCATCACATTCATTGTCATCATTCATACTCATCTCATCATCATCCGTCATGATGTTCCAAACAAAATTATCGATTGAAATGTTGCTGAGCTCTGATGGATGCATAGTCTCATCGAAGAGACCGCCATTTTTTACCTCTGACTCATCCCTATGATCGAAGTCTGTGGAAAATTCCTCCGTTTAGTGCTTCGAATCATCTAAAGCAACTGAAAACCTTCGCTTCCCAACATTTGCTGGCACCCTATATCCTTGTACTCCGTTCGTTCTTCTCATGAGGTAGACCGCTGATGCAAATTTTCCGCACTTTATGTTTTCAGAGAAGGAGCTGATGTCGATCAGTTGGGGTGCTCAATATCCAAAACTGAAGACGAATCTACGATTAGCGATAAATCGGCTGAAGTTAATGGGAAAGAAGAAAACTGAAATGGCAATGAAAGCCCGCACAGAGATCGCTGATTATATAGCAGGTGGGTATAGGCTCTATCCAGTAATCCTTACGGGGGCAGTCATGTTGTAAAGAGCTCAAGCCGGCGAAATTCTCTTATAATGTGCTTTTGGGAAGTGTATAGTTTATACAACCACAACGTTGCTGAGATATTTGCAAAACTCTGGACCGCAGGTGTCTATGGTGGGGAACGAACGCGCTATTGTCCTTTCCGGGGAGTAACGCGTTCACCACCACACCATGCGGGTCCTTCGTTTCGCTTGTCTCTCAGCTACTTCTATCTAGTTATTTGATCGATGCCGAGATTAATAGAAAGTCGGTCGTGGGAATTTCTTAAATAACTTTCTTATATGAATAGTGTTGATAGTTTGCAAGCACACGTTTTCAAGCCGTAGAATTTTTATAACTTGCAACATTAGCTATGAGTTAAGCACATTTTGAGGAGCAAATACTAGCAATAGATATTATCATTGAATTATACAAATTTAATGATTGCTACATCATTTTGTTCTAGAAAACAAAGCTGATCGTGCACGTATAAGAGTGGAACATATCATACGGGAGGACTATTTAGTTGAAGCGTTCGAGATTCTGGAGATGTATTGTGATTTACTGCTTGCTAGATTCGGTTTGATAGAGCAAATGAAGTTGGTGATTACTTCCTATTTGTTTGGGATATGGAAAGAACAATAGTCTGGTAAACATTTGAAATTACAGGACATTGGATGATGGTATCGCCGAAGCCGTTATTAGTATCATGTGGGCTGCTCCACGAATAGCTACCGATATCACGGAATTTAAGGTGTCTTTTTTATATGGTGCTGAAGCATTTGTGTGGATGATGTACATCGTCGCAGTTAGAAGAAGCTCTACCTGACGTTAACCCCATCGTAGATAAGATTGTTCATATTGTAACCTTCTTAACAATCTTATTTCTCTTACGTAGTAGTTTGAACTCTTTCTCAATGGAGTTACTTCTTATTTACTGGCTATGGCAGGGTATGATGTGAAATATAACCACAATGAGGGTGAATCTTTGCGAAACTCCCGACTGCGGGTGTCTGCGGTGTGGTTCGAACACGCTATTATCTTTTCCGGGAGCTAACGCATTTACCACCACACCATGCGGGTCATTGGTTTCGCCTGCCTTTCAGCCGTGTCTGACCAATAGGTGCTATCAGCAATCATCCGTCAACAGGATTAATCTGGGTAGCACAAATCGGAGTTGAACCCAGTTTAGCTTAGTACGGAAAGGGTAATAGCGTGTTTGGTCACCACCGTAGACGCCTGCGGTTCGGAGTTCTGCAAATATCTTTTGCAATGAGTTCATCCTTAATTTAGTCAGTCTAACCTGACCAGCTACTTACACTTGCGATTCGATGTTGAGCCGAAGTTCGAATTCGCTGCTTAGCTAGATTTTGAACTAAAATACAGCTTATGGATCTTATTCTAGCACCGTTATTAGTATTCTTTAGACGATAAGTGATCAACTTACTATAAAATATGGAAAGCCGTTCGCTGAAGCTGCACGGGCGAATCAGTTGGAATTTCCAGCCAAGGTTTCGCCGAAGCTTATCAGTAAGCTGTCAGTTGCTGCTCCACCAAAGCTATTAGTTGAGCGGTGAGATCGTTGAATGAAAATTAAGTACAGATAAAAATGTTGTACTATGGTTCATATGGGAGCAGTGGCGCAGTGGTCGGAGACGCCGTGCAACGCAGCTCGATCCCAGCTCCTCTGATCTATTAAGCCTTCCATCGCTCCGGTATCAGCGAATTGGTACCAGACTTATCTGGGAGCATAGCAACATTGACTCGATGCATCGGTATGCCACCGCGAGTCATTGTAAAGGCCAGATATGCATCCAATCACCTCCATACGATGCTTAGTGAAGTCGAATGCATGGTGGATCTCTCGGGGATTAATCAACGTCAAGGGCTTTATCCTTTATGCTTTATACTGTTGTTTATTAAACCTTGGAATTAAATTAACCCACCTTAAGTTTGAAAGAATATTTTCAAAGAGATTGTACTTGTGAAAGTGACACGCAGTTGTGTATCACTGAATATAAATCGTTTAGATATATGATCGAGATTGCTGCCAGTGCTGGAGTGCCGTTCGTTCCAGATCCTGATGTCATGCGAGATGACGAGGTCGCCCAAGCAGAGAAAATGCTTATTGATTTTAAGCAAGCAGGTTCGGGTGGCCAGAATACTGGACATACTGGAAGTGTCATAGCGCCAACCGATGTTACGGTACTTAAACTATTGCTTTCGTAATTTTGGTTATACTCAGTTTTTAGTTTCAGCCGCTAAGCTACGGATGGAACGTACCTAATGGTTCACAACCTTTTCCTCCATCGAATCCACCGCCACCACCACCTCCTGGGCATGGCGATAATTCTGGAGGTGGAAATGACGGTATTGCTACAACATGTTTAATTTCTAATTGTTTTTCGGCTAAGACAATATATACCAGGTCACATTTACGAAGTTCCCAGTGTTGGGCCACCACCACTTCAATACGGCGACTTCAATGATCACGAAGAAAATCATGGGTGAGTCTACATAAAGCAATTATAGCGTATCACGAAGAACCTTAAGTCACTTTGCGGTATGAGAATATCTGAATATATTGGCGACAAGGGTAGATATGGCCCAAACTTAGGCGAAGTGATCCGTTCAATCATAAACAGACGTACCTCAAGCTAACATTTTTATTGGCCTTGATGGTCGAATCATTCGAATAGTCTCCAGTAAAGTGTTCTTTTATCCCTGCCACGTGCCAGTGTTGATTTCTGGTTCATACTGACTTTAGAGTTTTATGAAGTATCACCTGTCCTATAATCTGCGTAAATAAGGCTTACCATCTGGTTGGTGATTTTCTTATTATGAGCTTGATAGGGCTCCAGTAATTCCTGCCGTTCTTGTTCACTAATTATGGTTGAGATTCATCACGTGTTTGACCCACCTGGTTTTCTATACCATGGCGCACACGGCGTCGCTTCCGATCTTGGAGCGTTGACGTAGCATCCAACTTCAAACTCCCTCCTTCATTTTCATGATGTAGGACATCCCTATCCACTTTTGTTTGGGATAAGTAGTGATCGGTTCCTCATCAGCGTGGTAGCATATCAGCAAACTTTGTAAAGAATATTCATTGAGATGATATATCCCACGTTTTGTGACATAATTGGAGGCAAGTAGAGGTGAATGTAAAAGAATGGCTGTTCTGTGAGTTTAGGCAAAAATTTGTTTTCCACTACTCAAGCGACTACACGTTGACGTATCAGCTGTAGTGTTTCTGGAGACAGAATTCTCTTGGTGACTTTCAAACTTTCAGTCCTCTTACCACACTCTTCTCCCAAATACCGGTCTGAATGCGAACAAATTGGAAGTTACGATGGTTTTGCGAATTCATTACTCACCTACCTTTACATCATCCAAGTTTTGCAGGTTTTCTTTTTATAAGGGTGATGTCGTGCGCTATAGCCAAAACCTTTGATTCATCACGCATACTCTGTTTCATTGTGGTATTCTTCGTAGGGAGACTCGCACATTCAGCAATGGTAGCGAGAGGGGCCTCCAGGCCTGTGAGTGACACTGTAGAGTCACGTCACTTCCCTCTATTCTCTCAGTTCCAGGGATATTCTGGGTTGCATTGTGAGCCTTCTGAGGTATTCTACTTTGTGTGTCATATATAATGTCATACCTCCCAACGGTTTACCGCCTCATCGTGGCTGGGAGATGTTCCTGGGTGTCGGACTGCGATGTACAGCGGGGAATTCATTCCCTGGCGGGCTCTCTCAAGCTGAGGAGTCCGGCGTTTCCTTCAGGAAGCCTAGCTAAGAGTAAGCCAATACCAGGATCCACCACCGTCCTGGTATCAAAGTCGCATGGTTGTAAATCCTCCCTGATCCACAAGGGCTGTGACTGCCTGTGATGGCGAAGACCTGTGGCAGGCTTTGACTAGGTTGACCTCGGGACTCCAGGGAACCATAATGGCTTAACCAGAAAATCTCAAAAAAATGGAGAGTATTGGGGTCGGCACAACAAGTGTGGACGGGCCATTCAAGTATCAAGTATATAATGTCATAGACGGTGTTTAAGGGAGGACATCTTTTCATATTTATGATATTTTAATAGCTTGTTCATATTGATCCTATCTTGTTCTGCAGCATCGAAGTTCTCTGGTCAGGGAAATTGTGTCCATTCCATTGCTGTCTTCGTATTACCTTCGTAGAAGAATGAGTCATGTGATGCACATAAGGATTCCGCGCTTTTCAAGATGAGGCTATAAACCGTTTGAAAGTCCACGGATGACAGCTCATATACAATTTTATGAAAATTCTGGGCAAAAGAAATGTAGAATCGTGTTGATGGCGGTCATAGTTAAGGTGCGCAGAGAGGGGTTTCTGAATGTGGCCTACACCATACGATCGATCGCCCTGTTCACTTTAAACTTCAAGTCCACATAGAACGCTTTGACGTCGTCGTCATCGTAGGTTAATATCACAGCTATATAGACGACGACTGTTAGCAAGGGTTGCATCAGTCCACAATTTTTCATGCGTAAGCAACGGGTTGTGGTGATTCGTTGTCCATAAGAATCGGTGTTTATTGCTAAGCCCGTGTTGGCGAGGGTATTAACTCTGCCAGGTTCTCTCTTGTTGCATATTCCGAGGAACATTTTTTTCGGTATCATTAAGTGTGTAGTACGCGGTGTAATCCCGTTTTAGCTAGTACTTTGACGTTCAATTTACAGTATAAAGTTGGAATGTATTCGTTGTAAATACACACAAATGCGCCGGACTGCTTCTCAGCTTGGTAGACCCTGTCGAAGGGATGAATCCTCTACTGTACATCGCAGTCCAACACCCAGGAACACCTCTCACCCACGATGTGGCGGTAAACCGTTGGGAAGTATAGTTTATTATACAACTTGCAACTTAAATCATGTACACTTTCTCCATACTTTGTATAATCTTTGCAACCTCTGAAACAATCGGCGGCTTTACGTTGGGTTAAGGCAGAGGTAGGATATTCCTAAAGTCGTTCGAATACAACCACGGTTTATTTGATTTCATCATGCCTAAGGTTATCACCACGTGTCCGGAAAAGAAATTCGGCTTTCGTAATTTGGACGAGCATTAGATCTTATTTATTGAATTAGACGTCACTAGAACCTACGGATCATTAGGGGAATATACAAGTCTTCCTACTGTACCATGACAAAATCGTGGTTTTGTAGAGTCCACAAGACGCAGTTCTTCCATCGTAGCTCGTAATTGGCGTACAAAATGTCTGAACAAGCAAGATTTCCTGTATAAGACATGTCATTGAAGTTTACGTTTAAAGCGATTGCTTTTAAGACTTCAAAATTCACAGCGCTGTCTATTTTATCTCGAAAATACCGTGAAGCCGTCTAACGAATGCCGATTTACCGCAGAAAAAAGTTCGAGGAGTTCCAAAAGCGTAGGAGAACATGTGGAAGCACGCCAAGGTCACTAAGGTAGCAAAAGAGCAGAATTACAAAAAACGTATCCACCCAGGAACAGATCCCAGCCATAATGAGGTGGTAAATTGTTGGAATGGCCCATCTTACAATGTCTACTACAAATTCGGTTCTTCCCAACATTTATTACACACTTACAGAGTTCTGGGTATAAACAGCCATGCTAGTTCATGTATTAATCTAAGATTTACACAATCATATTGAACGCTGTCTTGCTCAATTTTTGCTCTTAACGTTTAATATTTCAATGTGCTTGAAACGTTGTAAGATAGCTTTTTTTAGCAAAACAAGCTACACGGGAAATATGCCAGCAGGTTTAATTCAATTACCGAAGATCGGACCTGATGGTTTACCGATTTATCAAGGTCAAAACCTTCCCAACTATCCAAGACTTAGTCAGGTAATTTATGGATCATCGCTTAACCTAGTTACATAGCGTCGTACGCATTTTTGCTACTAGAACCCTTTTCGTAGCTCGTATGTACTATTTTTTTGCAACATTTTGCATTTCATAACTATCAAATATACAGAACACATAGTTTGGTAGAGAAAATTCTGGAGCGCACTAAATTTAAAGTGAACAGTATAGTGTTCATACCGTCCTTTGTTCCGCACGTGTGTGCACATTGTAATGTCTGTAACGGGCGCTATTTGATGAGATGATCAGTGGTAGTGGCACGTGCAGCGAATATAATAGGTTGTTCAATATGAAGTAGCCTTATAAGGAATTGTTCTGATTTTTGGCTATGGCATAATAATCGAAGAACGTATTCTGATTTTCTTGAACTCCATATTTTTCGGTTCAAATGAAAACCATTATAATTACTTTTTTCTTGCTACTACGTCAATTTGAGTAGATATAAGCCTTGAGAAAGATTAAAAGAGCTCTTAAGAGTCCTTTACGGTGGCATGCTTTTCCAGGTAGACGTTTCTCCTCCCAACCGTTTACCGCCTCATCGTTTTTGAGAGTATGCAATAGTAGATATCCAAGTATACAGGTTCCTTGCCATCCTGTTTTGTATCCACTCGTTCTGTATTAAAGCTGTAGGATAAAGCTTTCGGAGTTGATCAATACCATAGGGATGCGCCATGCATTCGATCTCATTAAGCACCGTTGGAGGTGATTGAACACATATCTGGCCTTTACAATGACTCGCGGTGGTTTAGCGATATATAAAACCGTTGCTGCTATCCTCTCAGGCAATTTGCCGACCCCGGAGTGATGGAAGGCTTGGGAACCACGGGCGCAGGCATCGATTCCATGTTTTTATTGCAGGGTGCTTCCGACCACTGCGCCACATACGCCTTTATTGCATACTAAACGCATACAACTGTGTTACCACCCATTGCTTTTTTGAAATTGTATTACTATGCTGTATATTGAGTATTGAAACATAGTTTCATTATAAATGTTTTAAAATAAGGAATTGTTTTCCACTCATTCTGTCTTTTGTCTTTTCATTTCATGACAGTAGGCGAATTTCCAGTTTCTAGATCATTTTGTACAAACAGCCATAGTTTAGCCATATTTAATTTTTCGTCAGGGAGAAGAAGTGAAATATCATGAAAACCTGTATAGTTTTATCGATAATCCCGTCGCTATCAAATTGAGTCAAAGTCGTGTTGAATTTGCGTTATAAAATGTTCTTTCCTATATTTTCAGATTTCCCCAGTCAATGAGAAGAAGCCGATTGTTCCACCACACGGTACAAACAACGTGCCGTCAGCCCCGCTTCAACCACAGAAAAATCCAAACGATTACGACAATGGTCCGTTTTAAATTCGACTGTCTCCTGCCAGCTTTTATGGCTTAGGCTTACCAGGCACCATAAAGAATACTCCTCTTGTTGCTGTTTCCTTCTATGTAGTGACACTGTTGATAATACGATTTTCTTGTTGTTCATATGCCTGCCTAACTAGTTTAGGATTCCGGTCCGTCGGGGTCTCATTTACTCCTCTTTGTTACTTAGCTGGCCAATCAACATAACATGTTATTTAGATCTGGGTGGTGTGTTTGTAAAAGAAAGAAAGGTAGGACCAATGGCCACAATGCTTGAGCCCTTTCACATCGTTTCTTTTGCACATCCATATGTTTCAGAAATGCATCATGTTCTGATAAAAACTCAGTGTAAATTAAAGTTTAAAAGTTTGCATCACAACGTTGACTTTTTATTTACTGCCTATTGTTGTTGTTCAGGGCAGGGTATGATATGAAATACAACCACTGTGATGGTGAGGTATTTGCAGAACTTGGACCCCAGGTCAGATCGAACTTGCGATAATCCTTTGTAGGACTCAAGTGTTATCCGCTGCACCACTGAGACCCCCGGTTTGCCTTTCTCTCAACCAGCTTAGTTTGAGATTGAGTGTTTGGTGAAGATGTTGCGTTCTTGTTCATCAAAAGATGGAAGTGAATCTTTTTGAGGATTTCAAATAGTTCTCAGTGTCTGTTGTCCAATATTGCGTACAATATGTTATGCTACCACCATGATTAGGGAGTTCTTTTTCGTAATTAAGACCTTATTTCCAGATTTGTAGTCATCTGACTGCGTTCTTTTTTCAGAATTGGTGTTCCCAGAACCTCCAAGCACGTTCGCTGGTGGTTCAGGTAACAACGGTGGTAGTGCCGGCGGTGGTGGTGGTATGGGAACTGGCAGTGATTTAGATTTCGATGAGCTCGCTAGACGATTTGACCAGCTGAAGAAGAAATGACGCGTTGTTCATGTCTACCTTTTCCCACTAATCGCTGTCATTATGTGAATCATGTTTCTTACTTATTCAATATACTTTTATAAGTTTCAATGTTATTCAAAGTTTAAACTCGGAAATGTTCGGTTCCTCGTATGTCTTGTGTGTAATTGCACTCTATGCGATTTCACGTATTCGCGACCACGCGCAACTCTGCGACAAGGAGATCCAATCTCACTGAATTCTCTTTTAGCCCCACCCAAATTCATTGAATAGGTTCTTTTACTAAATTCCAGACTCAACAAGTGAAATTTTTGTATGTGATAAAATGCACTTTGTCCATCATGAACTTACAGATTCGTACAGAAAGTGGTTTTTGTAAGTATAAGATGTAGGGTGGAACCTTTCTGGCTTTTAAACTCACCGTAATCCTTGAATAGCTTTTTTTTCTAACTCGAATACTGAACATCTCTAACATTTGTATGTAATGGGAAGTACCTCGTCCATCGTGAACCGACAACTTCATACAGAAAGTGGTTTTTGTGATTACTAATGTTTGGTGGATTACTTCATGGACCACCCATCAGTAACTAATAATAAGTATTCAGTAAGTTGTCAGTTAAGTGTAAAAATATGAAGAAACTGCGCGGTCGTGAATATGAGCAATGGATTTTGTTCTGAGAATAGGTGATTCGCTTCTTCTCGTCACATGTAAGTGGGCATATTCGAGTTCTTTAATGTGGTTCTTTCACATTTCCAATCCTATATTTCCACATTTTCGTATTTTGGAGTTCTAGAAATAAACTGAGTGTGTAAAATCTATGGTTGTTGTTTCTGTTATGCTTGAATTTTACGGCTCACATACATGAAGTGACTTTCTTTTCTGAAGTATTCAGAGAATGGTCCATGTCGTACTTGATTTCAGATGGCTGCTAACAAACCCATTAAGTTCATGTATAATGGTGCAGTCGTGCAATGGATGCGAAAGTTCGCGTGGAATCATCTTTGGGGAGGTGGTTGATACCAGTTTTGTCGCTGTTATTTTTAATTTAAAGTGGGAGTACAAGAGGACAACAAACGACCAGTGTTGAGTCAGTGAGTGAGGGGTTAGCAGAGTGGTTAGCGGTGCAGTCCTTGAGGTGTTGAGCTTCTGCTTCGCCTACCCACCACCGCTCTACCCAAATCCATGTGTTGGTGCCTTGGCACCAATTTGGTTAGTATTCTGCGGCATTATAAAAAAAAAATCAGAAATCCTCAAGTAGCAGCCGAAAAAACGCGAAGTGTTCGAAGATCCATGTGGGTGATATGTGCTAGGAAAACGAGCTGATTTGCAAGAAGTGCTGGGATCCCTACAGTAGATATGATAAGAACTGTCAGTGGTTTAGCATCTTGTGGTGACCAAAAGATATGCGAAATGATAGAGATAATGATAGAGAAGATAAAGAAATGTCAAACTTCATTGTATTATAGTACATATATTACTATCCTCATCAAAATCAATATTCACTCAAGTTTATGGAGATCGTCCTTGAAGCCGCTTTTTGAAGTTGTGTGTAGGGAGTAGCTTTTCTGTTGCTATGCCTGCTAAACTGCTCTGTGTTGGGTAAGGCATCGGTTTAAGAAAACAACAGTCGCGAAGAAAGTTAGTCAGGAATAATTCACTTCAGCTGAGTGGTTTTTCCCACATATGAGACCAGCTTAAGTCGGCCAGATGTTAATATTGTTGTCCCATAGTCTCAATAAGTTTTTTTGAAGGTCGTGAGTATGGCCTACTTTTCCATGATACGTATTTCGAGCCCGCTCCTGAGGTGACTGAAGCACTTCGCCGCCTCAATCTCAAAGAACCTCATCTCTTCGATCAGCGAAAGGTATGTAAAACAATAACGGCTTTCGGAAAACCTTGTGTTATTGTTCGCTCTACGTTATTTTTGTTACTTTTGAGATCCGTCTCTCACACGCGCACACTCTGGCACTGCATGGTGAACGATTGCCAAAAGAACAATGGACGAAGTGGGAAGATGTAAATGAGTTGGATTTTTTCTGCTGTAACTTATGAGATGAACTTATCAGGATAAAGCGTAACAGCTGAAGAATAAATTGAACGAATGTAAATATTCCGCTGGTCACTGGTCGTTCAGGACTCAGCATAATCCCCACTTTTCCGAGTTTTGCTGGTTTTGCCATTGTGTATTCCTGGAGTCCAGGCGTCAGCCTAGCCAATATCTGCTTCCGCTCCTACTCCAAACAGCTAGAAACTGCGATATATTAGCGTTGGAGTTAAGAGTTCTTAATTATGCAGCATTATTTCTAGCTTTGGGCAGAGAAGTTATGTTATTAATATCCACTGCCTTTACGATAGTTAGTTCTAACAACTATTTAAGGAAACGTGGTATTTGAAGCCTTACCTGGACGAGATTGAAGCTGAAAAGAAAGCTCGCAGTGAAACTACTGGACTTATTCCTCCTTTCGAAATGAAGCAACACGGTCATTGACCTTGGAAATCACAACTTAGAATTGTAGAATCAGTTTTTTTATATCTAGTAAATGTTAGCATTCACTTTTGTCTCTCTTGATTACGGTATATCCCACTCCAAAAGTTTTTTTTTTTTGAAGAAATGATGCATACGGTATCGAGTTAGTTCTATCAAGCGCTACCGCATACAATACGACATTACTCAAATTTATGTTTCTTTTCATGCCTTTGGGAGGCTGTTACTTAGAAACAGTTGTTTCTCGCTGGTTGGCTTTCCTGTGGACGTTTTGGTACTGCAGTAGCGGATGCCTGGAAATCCGAACGGATCGGGATATCTTCGCGAAGAGGACCCTGTTGAAGTGCTTATCAGGTGTGGATGCTGTGTTTGGCGAACTCTTACGTTGTTATTAATTTCCCGGAGAGTTTGTTCCTGGGTCTCCCAGGACTATTGTGCTTAAGTTCGCTTCGTTAGAGTTGTGACAGAGGGTAAACATTTTGCATAAATCAGACATTATATCTTCTTATCTCTAGACGAACTGGCTGCTGGGAGCAACATATCGCCGTAGTGGATTGTATGGGGGAAAAGGGTGACTGGAGACAGTGTCAAGTCCAGGTTGTTATGACATTGTCATCATTTTCATACTTCTATAAAGAAATCTTCTTTGTAGGTGCAGCAATTTAAGGAGTGTATGAAGAAGACGTCTTTAGGATCCAAGGAAAGGAATCCAAGTCTATGAAGATCGATTCTTCCACTTTTCTCAGTAGGCTAATCTATGGCGAAATTCTAATTGTCTTATTTGCTAGAATGTTGAGTAACACAACTCCATATTATATTATATAAGTCTTTAGCTATGTTCCCTGATGTTTTTGGACGCCTAGAAATAGACAATACAGAGCGCGTCAACGTACGCCCACAATTTTGTACCCCATCTCAGTACTCAGCAAATATTCAAAATATTGGTTGGTTTCTTTGTCAACGTGCCTTTGGCGAAGAAGCAGAGCAAGACAGGTATGCGAAAGGCTTTTACTTCTTATTGTCCAGTACTATTGCTTTTAGTACTACTATCTGCTTCCCGGAGGGCGCATGTACCGCATTGGTCGGAGGTGCCTTGCAACACACGCATGGAATCGATCCCCGCGCCCATGGCCCACCAAACCGTCCATATCTCCGGGGTCGCCAAATTTATACCAGACTTGTCTGGTATAAAAGCAGCATTGGCTCGATACTTCGGTAGGCCACCGCGAATCATTGTAAAAGGCCATATATGCATTCAATCACCTCCAAACGATGCTTAATGAAGTGGAATGCATGGCGCATCCTTCAGGGATTGAGCAACGCAGAGAGCTTTATCCTTTATCCATTATTATTTGTTTCAATACTATTATCTGGTTTCCAATTCAACAGATTCATCATTTTTATTCTTTCAGGGAAATTGTTAATCACAGAGCTGCTTATTTTCATTATCATAAACGGTTCAAAGAGGCATCAGAGGTAGAGTGAAAATCGTTTTTCGCTTTTTCTCGTAAACTTTCGACAAAGAGAGAAGTGAAAACGGGAAAATTGATGGTTTTTAGGAGTACAAGGTTTTGCTAGGTGAATATAAGCACAGCCGTACACATTCTGTCGCAGTACTCGATTCCCTCGTTCGTTGCGCCTTAAAGGTACGTTCACTGCTCATTCCCTCTTTTCCAAGATTTATCACCATCATCATCATCATCGTCACTTGATCGTCATGATGGAGTCATCATTTCAGACATTGTCGTGTCCTGTAAATGACTTGTTGCGATATCTTCATGAATACAAGCACTACATCTTAGACTGTGGTGATCATCTACAATATCTTACTGTAGCTAAAGAAGTCTACGTTTATATTAGCTGTGAAGATGCTCCTCAAAAATTCGTTGAAGTCGTGTGCCTTCTTTGCGCAACTACAGGGTTACCCGAACACTGGCTTGCATTTGGCGAAAAGAACTTGCCCAATGTCAGTTAATGATGATTATTTCCACCTCCGAATTTCTTTAAAATTTATAAAACTGAATTTTTTAGATGGGAAAGAATTTTCATATCGGTTACGTTACGCGTGCAATCATGCTGCTAGAACGACAGATTAAAGGCGCTCATGGTTTCGTAGTTCGTGCCATGGAAAAGAAGCTGAAGAGTTGTACCGACCGATTAGCAGAAATGGGATGTTCAGGCGAGTTGGTGAGTAACAATAATAGTAATGGTACATGTTTTTTTTTGTATGCGAATGAAGCTGCTTTCCACTCCGTTGAGTTGATTTATTTTCTCGTTTCGCTCATTTTCGATAGAGCATGTAATATGTGTAATATAACCTTGGCTGAAAAGGATAAAAAAACAAAAGTTAAGGCTCTCTGCGTTGGTCAATCTCTGAAGGATGCGCCATGCATTCGACTTCACTAAGCATCGTTGGAGGTGATTTAATGCAAATTTGGCCTGAACAATAACTCGCGGTGGGCTTCCAATGTATTGAGCCACTGTTGCCATCCTCCCAGATAAGTCTGGTGCCTCGATACATTGGTAGGCCACCGCGAGTTATTGTTTAGGCTAGATTTGCATTAAATCACCTCTAACGATGCTTAGTGAAGTCGAATGCATGACACATCTCTCAGGAATTGATCAACGCTGAGAGCTTTATCCGTTTTTTTTTATCCTTTCCAGCCAAGGTTATATTAGTTATCGATCTTAAGGAGTTTATTTTATTTCATATTGCTACAGTATAGGAATTCCTTTTTTTTCTGCAGTGAACAACATTACAGATCCGAGAGGCACGCTTGAAAATGGGTGTCGACTTGATTTCAGTTGAAGAGAACGTCGCACTCTGCGATGACTTTCGTCGTCCCGCTCATGACTGTAGATTAAAATCAGGCCTGCACATGAATGACGGAGATTTAAAGACTTTATTGATGGGGTTCCAAGAGAAATTTGCTTGGATGTTTGAGGGATGCTCGTTGTGAATAAGTAACAAACAGAGCTTATGAAGTGTTGCATGTCGCTGTTATTCACCTTGTTCTCGTTGTTTGTCGTCCCTGATCCTTGATTACAATGAAATAAATCTTGCAAATTTATAAGCTTTTCTAAATAAATAGCGAGAAAAAGAACTTGTTGACGCGTCAAACTTCGGGACGCTACAGAAGGTTCCTTCTGATTACCGATCTTCCGCTCTTCATAGTGTTTAGTTTTGTGTCCTTACTTTGGTACTGGTGTAAAAAATCTCGCTAATATGGAAAAGTGCTATGTGGCTAGTCATTTTTTGCTGAGCCACGAAAATGTGCTGGGTTGTACTAGTGATGTTGAGCCCATTGATTCTTATCTTTTGATAGTCTTATTTTGCAAGAAGTTCTTACATTGTAATATGAATGTGTCGTTTTCTTGTTCAGCAATCGCGAGGTTTTTAAACAGCATACATTTACTTCCATAAAAACACAATACAATACAACGCTAGCTGAGTCGTTGTCGTTGATCGTTGTCGTTGTCGCAACGAAGTCGTTGATCGTGTAATTACCAAAGAATCTTTCGTCTTTGTGTAAGTGTTATTGAAGCGTTTGGCCTAGTAGATTGTATATCAGTATACCCTAACAGGCTCTGAAGAAGGCGATACTGCCGAAACGTCAGCTAGCGTTGTATTGTATTGTGTTTTTATGGAAGTAAATGTATGCTGTTTAAAAACCTCGCGATTGCTGAACAAGAAAACGACACATTCATATTCCAATGCCGAGGTTAAGAGAAAGTCGATCCTGGGAACTATTCTTAGATTGTTTCAACAGAAAGTGCAATTGTCATGGTTTGCTCTAGTCTCTTTATGGCCTGGTTCTGATTAAAAGAAGAATAGAAGTGCTTGCCAGTTTTTGGTTAGAATTCTTTTTTTATAACACTTCGTATCCGGAAGGGGTATGATTCGATGAGCGTCTGCCATACTTTAGAGAAAGGGTAAAAATGGCATGCAGATAGTTCCGAAAACATTGATGTTCTGCTCCGAGCTATTCGTCTAGAGAGAAAGATACTGAGTGTCACTATGGTTGTGCCAACGATGCTTAAGAACTGGTGAGGTTGAGCATACAAAACTTGGCCTAGGTCGAGTTCATCTCGCCATCGATCGTCGCGTCAACTTCATCGGCTACTGCAAAGTGGAAACTTGTTGAACTCTCGTTACTCTTATCACCAACTAGTGTGCAGGACATTTCTGCTACGTCATCGCTATCGTGAAGGATAACTAACCAAATTGAACGACAAGCGATCCAGTAGCAAACTGAACTTGTCTATCCGTTGTACTTCATAAATATCCCATGTCCGACCACACTTATCTTCGACAAGTTGTGAACGAATCATAATGGTATAATATATGGTAAGTGTAGTAATATACCATAGCAACTAAGGTTTACGTTCACCAGAGAAGGTAGTGTGCGCCTTAACCTATGATGAGGTTGTGACAGATTAGATCAGTTCCTGTGTAACAATAATAACAAGAAGTGGTTGTTTTCAATGATCTCACTTGCATCACATATGCTGCAGCTGATCATCGAGTTACTTGAGCGAGCACCAAGAAATCTTCCATTTTCCCTGTCGCGTGCAAGAGTAGCCCAGTGGGTTCCGCTCGCTCTAGGGACTCGTCGAGTATCATATCCTTCTTCTAGGTTCTTAGTGAAAAACTCTGAATATCGGATCGGTGATCTTCTTGCAACACGTTTAACATGCCCAGGAATCCATGTTCATGTCCATCGGTTGTCGTCTACACGCACTGAGTGTCCAGCCCACCATATTGTTCCCAGTTTGGCGTATAGAACAGATTCTTTGACTTTTGATCGTTGACGCAGGTCGGAGTTTCGGATCCCTACCCTTCCTTGTGTGACACGGGATACTCTTGCCACCGTCCTTTCGACTGCGCATTCAATAACTCTGAGTGATCTTTCATCCTGCTTACGCATCGACCAGATTTCTAACACACGTTAAGGTAGGAAGTACTGTTGAGTCGAAAAGGTGGGCACGGAGTTCGGTGTTCTTTGTTCTCTCCACTACATCCTCGATGCTCTTGAAAGCTCCCCAAGCCGCTCGTTTCCTTCTGCTCTGCTTTGGAGCTAGTTCATCAGATTGATTTCCTGACCTAGATAGATATAACTGGAGCATTCGAAGATATTCGTTCCGTTGAGCGTGAATAGGGCATACGAAACCAATCCGTTCTTCATGAACATCGTTTTTGTGAGATTTAGTCGAAGACTAATCTTTCTGCAGGCCTTATCAAAGTCTTCAAGCATACGTTCCGCTTGGCTAATGTTTGGTGTTATAAGGACGATGTCATCAGCAAAGCGAAGATGGGGTAGTTGCAGACCGTCGATTCCCACATTAGCCCATTCCAATGTTTGCATGACGTTCTGGTGGGTGGCGGTAAATAATTTTAGCGAGATGGTATCGCCTTTCCTAACCCCTTTTTTGACGCCAATGTTAATATTGTTGTAGAATGGTAATATCTTGATTGTGAAATTTTTGTACAGCTCACGAACAATCTTTATATACTGAGTAGGGACTCCTTGACTATCAAGGGCTTCCCAGACTGCTCCCATCTCAACTGAATCAAAGGCCTTTTGTAAATCGATGAAAGTGAGATAGGGCGGTCTTTTGCACTCTCGCGATCCTTCAGTGAGCCGTGTTACCGTGTGGATGTGGTCCATCGTACTAAATCCTCTTCGAAACCCTGCTTGCTCACATGGCTGTCCTTCGTCTAGTGTTCTACCATTCCTGTTTAGGATGAATCGAGTGAAAGTTTGTAGACGATACAAAGGAAGCAGATTGGGCGACAGTTGCCGATATCGTGGATTTCACCGTTCTTGAACAATAGCACGGTCTTGCTGGTCATTAAATGAGAACCTTGCATTCCGAGCGTCCGACAGATAAGGTGCGAAGAGCGGAGCGAGTATGTTGGTAAGGACTGACTGAAGGTTCTTCAGGTGTTCAGATCTTATCCTATCCAGAGCGGGTATTGTTTTTCTTTTTTACTTCATTCGAGGACGGGAGCATGTAGCTGTTAAGAGATCCGAGTAGGAATCGTAGATAGTTTCCCACTGCTTTTTGGACGCTGTAACTGTTCCGTCTGGGTATTGGAGTGCAGTCATCGTGGTTCTGTAATTGGCAAAGCTTCGCTGGGCTTTGCGAATACTTTTCCCAGCCTCTGCAGCATGGACAATAACTGCTGCTCTTCCCTCTTTAAGATCTTCTTTTATCGCCTGTCTGCGTTGTTTTGCAAGTTCGGACGCTAGTTTGCGGTTGCCTGCAGCTCGTGCGATTCCACGTTGGCGTATCAGCTCGAGTGTTTGTGGAGACAGACGTCTCTTTCACAGTGCTAACGTGAAAGTGAATGAGCCAATCGTACTCCTCGTCGATGTTATCAAGAATGCCATCTTTCCAACAGGGGACTGACGAACTGTATAAATCCCAGTTTACGGTGGTTTTGGGATTTCGTCTTTTGAATTCAGCGGCTTTCTCTCCTTTCCGCTAGAAATAGAATCTTTCACGAAAGAGACGGTGGTCTGATCCCTTGTTGAATTTTGGGACAACAGCGACATCGGTAAGGCAAAACCTATTTACTATGATGTGGTCTATTTCCTTATGCTACTCTCCATTGGGAGACTTTCACGTCCAGCGTTGAAGGCGTGGCTTGTGGAATTGCGAGCTGCTGTGGATGGTCTTAGTCGTCATGATAAACTCGGACAACCACTCACCGTGCTCGTTCCATTTTTAACTGCGGATCGCAATGTGACGTTCTTCAAACGTTGTCCTGGGTCCAATCTCTAGCTAGTGGACTACACGAGTCATCCGGTGTCATCAATGACGTTAAATAGGCGGACTTTTCTCGTTTTAACCGCTGTGTTAACATCGTACATTATTCTTTTAGCTTACATCATCAGGCCCTCTATAGCAACTATTGCCAGAATAGTTACTATTCATTCATCATATCGTAGATCTGTGGCAACCATATTCGTGGCCTATAGCATCGCTTTGCGATCTTGCAGCATGCAAACGTTTTCACTTCGTTGAGAGAAACTTTGGTTGTCGTAAACATCCTTTGTGAAACACACTCTTTTTCTACAATCGGAACCTTTTGTGTGTTGCATCAGTTCCAAACCATCACGGGTACGGTAACACAAAGGGGGTTGAAGCTGTCCGGCAAACCGTCCTCAGTCATCTGATCACAGGGGAGCTGGAGACGCAAGCCGATGGGTGTTTTCGGTAAAGGTTCTGGACCTGTGCCAAAGCACAGCCTCGTCCAGAAGATATTTAAAGAGCCCTGTGCGTCAATACCGTATTCGCCCCCCCACACCCTGTTCATGATGTGTAACGCGCCTTGTAGTCAATCCAAAGTGTTCTCTCTTGTTGTATGTGGTAACTGTTGTATATTAACATTGCTGTCATGTAGCTCTGTACCTATAGCAAATATACTAACCCGCATTACCCTCATTTGATCATGATACAATATTGCCGTCTGTATTGTACCAATGTTTATATTTCGTTATTTTTGAATTACTATTGTTATAAACGGTTTAATTGCCCAAGTTTGAGATATTGCTTTGCGACAAGTACGAAAAAGTCCCGCGTGGCAACTTCTACGAAGTGGAGCATCATACTCAAAGTTAGTGATCATAAGGTGCCGAGGACTGACTCGTAGACCTAATTTCCACTAACAGCTGCTATACCCTCAGTGGAGCATTTCGATGCAAGTGAAGGTGCATTTGAAATACAAATCACCCTAGTCTTTCCAAATTTAGGCGGCCTGGAATGATGCTGAGATTTTAACAGCGTTTCCGTACTCGTCCAACGTTGCTTTTTAAGGGGTTCCTTCTGGGTGAGGGTGGTGAGTCACATTTATTTTACTGCATTGGACTTTCGGTGGTTATGGGTCGCTTGCAAGTCTCTCCTTGTATAACCATGGAGTATATTTGTTGGAGACGACTCTTAACAACCTCTCATATACTCCCAGTCAATTGATTAGAGGCTTTTAGCCGAACTGACTTGTAGGACACGATCTGAATAAACGAGAACACACCCACCCACAAATACATTAACATCCCTGTGTAAATATAGGAAGTTGGTTCTGAATCGTCGCAGCAGAAACTGGGAGTTCATCCTCTGGATCTACTTGAGCTTTATTGAATCTTTGGTCCGTCTTCAACCTCATTTCGCCACCTACCGAAGCGCCATATGGCTTCAGAACTAACTGACTGGAATTCCTCAGTAAGAGAGATTTATGGAATTGGTAAACATTCAGAAGAATTGGAACATAGTACTGTAATCCAACCATAGTACTTTCAGACAAACATATCGGACCTTGAAGCAACATCCGTGCTCCAAAAAATATGATTACAATGATAAATTCAAAAATTGTCTTACCGACATCTTTGGGAGCCCTTATCGTTCTCTTAGGATGGAATTCACAATGGAAATATAGCATCCTATTCTTGACAATGATGGCGAATATATGGTTGACGGAAGGTGTGTGTTCAGGATAAATAAAATCAGTGGCGAATATAATTGCAAAAATCGGGAGTGTTTTATATTCTAACAAATCTGACCAACAAAGATTTTCAGTTGGTCTTGGTCTCTTCGCTAATTGGTTCAATTCGCAAGACTTGCCGTGACCTACCGGTGTGTCAAGTTAGTGCTACTATCCTCCCGGATAACTACTAATACCAATTTACCAACCATGCAGAAACGGACGGTTCGATTAGACCGGAGGATGTTATCGAAGCAATGACCATCTGTGCGAAGAGCACCTCTAACCACTGCGCTAAACGCGCCTCCTTGAGTTGATATTCCGTTCAGCACAATTTCGTAATGTGTTTCAAAGTGTGATGGGAGTTTGATTTCACTTTCGATAGGATAATCCCTTGGTAAATAAAGCATTTTTAATAAATTTCCACTTTTCCCGTGGACCACTGACTTAGCACTCTTCAAACGTTAAGGAGATCCTAGCTTGAAGATAAGACCGTAGAGGCCTTCGAATTGATCGACTTTTTGATGATCAGTGTTAAAACATATTCATTGGGTTGTGGATTGATTCATCGAAACTTGTCTGCTGGTGTTCTGTGTGCCCAGAACATTGAGCATCGTTGTCATTCAAAGGAATCAGTTGAAGAATTTAAATGAGGTATATTTATCCTCGGAACAAATGAAAGTGGAGTTATGAGAGCTCTCTAGACATGAATCAGATTTTCAACACCCTTGGCAGTGAAGCTACACTTCTGAAAGAATTAGCGACATTACTGTGGTCGGATGTCAGGTATTGTTAATAACGAAGGATATGGAATAAGGTCTTAGGGCTAAGTAAAAGGATAAAACTCTCGGCGTTGATTAAAACCTGAGGGATGCGCCATGCACTTGACATCAAGCATTGTCAGAGGTAACTGATTGCATATCTGGATTTTACAATGACTCGCGGTGGCCTACTGGTGCTTCAAATCAGTGGTGGTATTCTGCCAAACAAGTCTGTTAGCAATATGGCGAGCTCGGAGGGTTGGAAGATGTAGTGAGGTCGAGCTTGGAATCGAAGCAAACACCACGTGTGTATTACAGCCCCCGTCTAAGTGTTCCGCCTCACGCGCCCCATTGCTAAGGATAACGAGTTGTATTCATAAAGCATCGAAAACCATACTGAGATGCACCAGTTTGCTTGAAACCCAGGCTGTTTCACACCGTAGGCAAAGTAAGAACACCTACGCATCGAATCAAGTTTAGTTCCTCGCAGTATCGTTGCCACCGCGTTTGTCCGACCCTATATATCCCACTATGTGTTCCTTCCCAACCTCAGCTAGTTGTCGCTTGGAAAGCATCTAAGATCAAATACTACAAAAAGCAACATTCCTTTAACGTCGGCATGGATAATCAATACGTATTCTTTCAATGATGAGCTTACACTAGGTTGATAAAGTAAACCTTGTTAGGCTAACGTTATCTATTTATATTTCAAAACCGACTTTCCTATAGCATCCGTATGAATGCATGAAGCAGTCAATACGTATTCTTTCTTCGATAAGCTTACAGATTGATACACAATCTTTTTTCTGTTAACGATTCGACGCCATCTTCATCAGAGACCGGGGATTGTTAGGATCACACGTCTTCAGGACCATCGACTCGAATTATCTACTCTGATGAAGACGAAGACGTCGAAACGTTACCCGAATAAAGATTATATATCAATCCTGTGTAAGCTTATCCAAGAAAGAATACGTATTGATTAGTCATATCGAGGTTATGGAAAAGTCTGTTCTGAAGTACAAATAAATAACGTTAGCCGAACGAGGTTTATTTCGTCAACATCGTGTTAGTTCATCGATGAAAGAATGGCTAAGATCTATTCCAGACCATCATTTGCAGTTCTAGTGCTTACTCCATTATTCCCACGAAGCTGACATTCCCTGACTAAGGTGTCTTCTTCTTCGTATTCATATCGTTCTGACTCTTTCTTTCCTAGTGTCCATCGTAAGTAAGCCACTCCGAAATGTGGTAGTTTTTTATTTATTGCCTACAGTCTTTTTATGGCACGGTATTACGTCAAATATAACCATAATGATGCTGAAAAGCTTGCAAAACTGTGGACCGTTGGCGTCTTTCGACTGTAGTTCCAGCCTGGACTGAGTTCAATGCCGATTTGTACTCTCCTGATCAATACCGTTGACGGGTGACTGCTGATAGCAAATCCCAGCTATACAACAAGGCTGAGAGAAGGGCGCATCGAAGGACCAGCATGGTGTGGTGGTTAACGCGGTAGGCTTCGGAAAGGATAATAATGCGCTCGGCCCCACCGCAGACACCAGCGCTCCGGAGTTTTGCAAATATCTCAGTATCATCGTAGTTACTTTGAAATGTCTCCTAGGATATTTTTTTTACTACACAAGAACATACTATTCATGCGCTAAATTCCAAGCTAAGGTGTTGTCTTGTGATAGCTGGGATTTGCAAAATACTTTTCACCCCAGCTTACACGAAGCGATCTGTTAAGGGATTTCATGGAGAAGGAAGGTGTAGAAGAAATCTTTGAAATCGATGACTTCACTGTCATTACGGAATTTGAACGTTTCGTAGTTGCTGTTGAGGCTCTGGTTCAAGAATGGGGACTCATTGGTGAACGGCAACATGGTAGATATCCTAAGGTAATTTTGTTTTCCTGTTACTTCGAAAATTTCCAGTGAATCTGTCGAGATCTTAGTTTTTAAATCTCCCTTGGCATAGGGGATCCTGAGGACGTGCTCATGGAAAACGAAGTCATCTATGGTAAACTTTGGTGATTTCAACAAGTTGAAGGTTACCTACTACCATCCGGATTTGGTGGGTTTTCTTCATCGTTTGTGGAAATTAAGTAGTTAAAGACAGAGATCAGCATCATATCTTCTTGAGATTTCATGGTAAGGATACAGGTCAGGTTGGCTCTGTTAATGAGTCACGTCTGTTGTGGATTTTGTATTTTTATAACGACGTTTTTCAGTTCACTTCGATTTCAGCCGCTTGAAATGATCGAGGAGTTATCAAATCCTGAACGGGTTCCATATTTGCCATCATCGGGTGTGGATATGTCAACTTCAGAAACGGATTTCGTCTATCACAGCAATATAACGACGATGGTAGGGTCATTTCCTACAGTATTTTCTGTGTATCTTGGTGATAGCTCTTTGCTCTACTTCATTAATTGGGAAGCAAATGGGCAGGGAAGAGGTACTGGCCTAAAAACTGAAAATAAGGTTTCTATTACTAAATATTATGGCGCGTGGAGCTCAGTGGCCAGAGGTGCCCTGCGATACACAAATGGTCTCTGGTTTGATCCCGTGCCCTGGATTCTCCAGACGTTCCATCCCTCCAGGGTCGGTTTAGTGGTTCCAGAGGTTTCCGGAGGAATAGCACAGACCCGATTAATCGGTGGCCACCTCGAGTCATTGTATGGAACAGACATACCTTCAGTCACCTCTTCGAGTTCTAAACGAAGCCAAAAGCATAGCGCATCCCACAGGAACTGGTCAGCGGCTTTATCCTTTTATCATTTTGTTATGACCAGGGGTATTGGAACGCTCACAAATGAGTACTTCCAGTATGGTGTCTCGGAATTCCTAGTCTTCTCCCCTGCCGATCAATTTGACGATGCCATAATAACGGAGGACCAAAAGAATCTCGTTATCAGTGCCTTTCGAGTTGTACAGCACAGTATTGACTGGTATGCTTTCTTTGGCTGGTTTGGGTAATGAGCGGATTGTAGATTTTCGGTGCTTCTATTTGTCCTTTCAATGGTTTACGTTTTATTTCAGTGAGGTACCAATGTTCATTCAATTTGGTCATATCGATAGGCAACTTTTTCTCGGCACTTCTTCCAACAAATCAGTGGTTGCACACTATGGGGTAAGTTGTAATTTTGTGCTTTGGAACTTTTCCCATAGTTCCATTTAATAGAACGTTCTTGGTAGCGATTTGTGTTATTCCTCCAAATGGCTTATCGCCTGATTGTGGCTGGGAAGTGTTCTTGGTGTTTGGCTGCGATGTACAGCGGGATGTTCATCCCTCCAGTAGGTTCTCCCAAGCTGAAAAGGGATCCGGCGATTCCATCAGGAAGCTCAGCTAAGAGTAAACCAATACCGGGATCCACCGCAGTCTTGGTGTCAAACTGCTTGGTTGGTGGCAGATCTCCTTCTGATCCACGGGGCCGGCGACTGCATGTGGTGGTGACGATCTGGGGCAGACTTTGGTCAGGCTGACCTCGGGACTCCAGGGACCCACAGGTGCTAAATCAACAAATCTCCGGAGAATTAAAATTATACTGGGGCTCGCACAACGAATGAAGACGGACTATCAAAGTGTCCAAGTAAGAATAGTGTTATTATTATGGTTTCAAATTCTGGCATACATATCTGGAATTTACTGTCATGAACTCTCATAAATACAAGTGCTGAAAAGTTTCATTGTAATTTGAAATTGGGTTGATTTGAGAAAAGATTTTCTGTTTTTCTCGTCGCAACATAAACGTTTTAGGGTTCGCATTTGCGAAAGGGGCAGATACGGCATATGCACCTTACTGGTTTGCTGGATATTTTCAAGGAACATATCGTAGGTTTTATATTTACACCTGCATGATTAGCTTGTCTTCCAGATGTTCTTTAGAAATGTCCAATCTCACTATTTGACGCTGACGACATTCGCATATCGATTCAATTCGATTATAATGTGACGGTAACACTGATCTTGCATCGCTTACCTTATGCATTGCATTGCTTCCGATTCACACCGTTTAGTTCCCGTCGCAAGATGCAAAAGATGTGGATGAGTTGTGTGAAATTATAGACTGTTACAATCTTCCATTCGGAAGCCGCGATGAACCAATAAGGTGTTTTAATTTATTCTGTTTAACACCCAGATTATGTGCTATGTATAGCTCATAGTAGGGCAGACTTTGCCCATGCTGGCCTCGGGATTCCAGCGGACGACATTGGCTAAACTAGTAAAACTCTGAAGAAGTGGAAATTATGCTGGAGGTCGCACAACCAGTGAAGACCGGCCATCCAAGTATCCAAGTGAATACGTGACCGAAAATAATTTGGCCTTCAAATTTTAAGGAAACTCATGTGATGTGAACCTTATGTGAAATGAGAACCATTATTATCGATAACTCTTCACCAATGGGTTGAGGTTTTTTTGTTATCCCTTAAAAATCTCATTTTCCTGACCCCGATATCCCTTTTTTCTCTTCCCTTCGGGTCCTCTATCTCGAACACAAGCAGTTGAACAAGCGGAATTTCGCACATCGGACTAAAAGGTAAGCTTATCGAAATCATTTCAGTGAATTCAATCTGATAGCTTCATGGCCAAATATGAAAGAAGAGATGGTCAATGAAAATGAGGTACAAACCTTGAGTTTTCATTCCACTGTATTTGGAGTGTTATCTTTTTTCCTAGTACCACAGTGATCTCGATCTGCTAAGGGCTTTCAGTTGGGCAGGGTGTGTTGGTTTTCAATATGCCGAAGGATTACTGAGTAGGGATTCTGTGTAATAGGTTCCAATTATTTCACATGCCATTACTGTTACCATTTTTAGGCTATGTGCTTTCACGCCTCAACGATTTGTCACAGTCAAACGAAGCGTCAGAGACATCGTTTTCTTTGTTAAATCTGAGGCATTCACCTAGTTGGTTTTTTTAAACTTAAAGGGTTCTACTCTTATTGTTGATAAATGTCGAATATCTTTGAATTTAGAATATGTCAAGTTCTAGGTTATGTGGCATGTGATTTAACCTTGGATGGGCTATACCAATAATTATGAATCTTTCGAACCCTGGGGCTAATGTAAGGTCTGCCCATCTTGGACATTATATCTCGTTAGACTTTAGATCGATTTTTATCATAGCGGTGCTAGTGAACGTAGTGAAGTCATAGTGGCGTAGTGAAGATTTTTGCTGGATAAATCGGACCGTCATTATGTTGCAGCCATATATAATGTTTACTCGAAACGTTTACTAGCCTATGTGGAGCTGCATGGTGTGGCACTGGAAGGGTTGTTAAACCATTTAGGTTGATCTCCATCCGTAAACTAGTTGGGAGCCTGTTCGAGTAATGGAGGAGACGTATTTTTGTGACGCCATTTCAATTTAAAGTCGGTGCCATAATTGCTGAGCTGTTTGTCCCGATGCATACATCATTACACCATAGGTTTCCCATGAACTATGTTTTAAGTCTACTTACATTCTTCCTGGTTTCAAGGTTCACCAATCTTTGTGAGTCATGTTCGCTATCGTGACAACTTGGGCAAAGTACAATTTTTGATTTCATTGATGATTTTACCCACTTACAAACACTGTCGTTTTCATTTCCGTGAATATAAAAAATCTGTTTTCTTTTTAATGCAAATACACTACTAAGCCTAGTTTGTATACCAAGGCTTGGGACTACTATTGATTTTTCGTGAGGTACTTGTACATGAAGTACTCGGAACAACTGGGCTTCGAACTCGCGATTACCCTTTCCGAGGGCTCATGTGCTATGCCCTGCTTTCCTCTATACCTTGTTTCATGTACATGTACATGTCATCGGGAAATGGTTTTTCTTGCAAATTATCAAGTATAGAAAGCATGCTTTCATGGAGTATGTCTGAGAAATCTTTGTGCAGTGTGCCATTGTTTGAGTACAGAAAGTTTAACGGATAAACTTCACGAAAGAAACTGGACGTTTATGCATCGATGCCAATTCATATGGGCAAAAGGTGTTTGCTTTACTTTTATTCCAGCATTTGTACAGCACAATAGACCTCTAACAAGCAGTGTTTTCGAGTTCTACCTCTCTTTGATATGCTAACGGTATTTTCAATGTATTGTCATCGTATGAGTACCATCTAATTTAGGAGTCTTTGGGAATTTGACGGATGGTGGTATTCAGAATATTCGTTTCGCTGGTGCTTCTAATTTCTCTATAACTAACCCCGGCGGTCTATCGCTCGATGAAATGGTATTACCAATTCCGAAGGTGAGCAAGGTTATGAAGTCTTAAATCGCAAGGCTGTTTAGTGTTTCATGTCTGATTTAGCCAGTCATTAATCGGTGCATGAACAAAGTCTTTGATGTGGTGGACAACAGAGAGGAAGCGGAGATGGTTACAAGCGAAAATAGAACTTTTAAAAGTGGGCCAGGTAGCGCGGTTAGGACAAGCGGTGTACGTGGTTATCTACTTCTAAATAACTAGTAAGAAATTATTTTCTATGTTTTAAGGTACCCATTTCCGGAGAAGATGTTGACATACAGAGGGTCAACACTGAAGTTGATGACTGGAAGGATTTCTGTGAAAATGTGGGTTACCCCTAAATAAGGACTATTGTATTGTTTTCGAATGATACACTACGTTAACTAAAGAGGGCAGGGTTATTTCGCCGAAGACAAATGCCTTCGTACCTTTTAAATTCGTTGGCTAACACATCAATATCAATATCGTTTTCGGTTCTATTTTTTCCTATCAGTGAAAAAAAGGAACTTATGGTTGATTCTCATTTATAGACTGTGTTACGGCAAAACAAATGGACACCTCCAGATTCCCTGACTTGCCGTTTTGCTAATGCTTTTGCAAATGCTTCGTTAGACTTCGTCTTTGGAACACGCGCCTTTGCACAAGTATGGCTGGAATTCGTTAAAAGGCTGCGCCTGTTCTACGAGACTATGGAGAACTTGCCAGGGTTGGTCTAACTGTACGCGATAATGAGCGCTTGTGTTTGAGTCCACTTGAGGAGTTAAAGGGTGGGACAACATAGAGAGATGGATACAGATTTATACTATGTGTTAATCGTATCTTCTATAGTCTCCACTTTTTTTTCCTCTGCATAACTGAAAGTAGTTGTTGTATGTTTTTGCAGCCTAGGTGACATCATTCAGCCAAACCTATCACATTGTCTTCTCCAGCAAAAAATCGAAATGTTACAATGCTGTATTTCTGCAAAAAGGAAACGTCACGAGCTCTATGACAATGCCAAAGATTTTGGAGCAAGTATAGGTAAAATTCCTAGACTGCCATGTGCCTTGTTAATGTAAAGTCTTGTGTTTTAAATGAGTTCTTCGATGCCCAATCTGGTCATTCCGATGACGATTCCTCGGCGAATGTAAGCTTAGATGAGGATGCAACGTTGAAATCCACAATGGACAGTTCTAAAATTGCGAAACTTCCACCGGTGAATTGAAATGGTTCATCCCTTTTTTAAAGAACAGCAATACGCGCTTCTTATTTGGCTTATTTATTTTTTTGTGCTCCTAGAACCAAGAACCATCCGGGCGTCTTTATCCTTTTGGAGAAATGCGCTTACTCAGGCATAAAGATACAGTGCTTTATGTACCAATAACACAGGTAAACGAAGTTCTTAGGTTTCCGTTTTACTTCATTTTCCTGATTGTTCTGTATCATCGTTTTGACAAATTAAGGATCGTAGTCCTATGACAGAGGACATGGTTGAAGAATTCTCGCGTTATCTGTCATCGTTAGATGATGGTGAATCCAGAGTTCAAGCCCAGTTGGATGTTTTATCCAGTGATATGCAAGCGTTCAAGGTTCCATTCGTCATTTTCAAGATTGCCAAATAGTGGTCTTCATTTACACTATCATAGGCTGCTAATCCAAAATGTTGCATTGAGGATTTCATTAGATGGCACTCTCCTAAAGATTGGGACGAAGAAAAAGGTTTTAATTTGACGTTTTATGTATTTGAATCTCTACATAGACTGCAGTAACTGTGTTTCAGAATGCCTTTCGGAAAGGATGCAACTTCAGGACAACGCATGGGTCAAATGCTGGAATGAGGCAATGCCTATACCTGTTGTAAATCAAACCCGCTTATTCAATGAATCCAAGGTGGCCGAGGAGGTGAGATGCACAGTTTTCCCCACACTGTGGCGTTGAAGGTGTTTGACATTGCTTAGATTTTATCAATGCTGGAAAACGCAAATGTGCAACAAATGGTGGAACTCCTGCTGCCGGTGCTTTTCACGTCTGCGGTTTTACAAGTGATTCACAAAGGTCAGGCTGGTTCTCTATGGTGAAGGCCTTAAAACGGTTGTTTAGAAGACCTTTTGTTATTCTCATAATTACATTGTAGGAAAGTCTATTTCTAATCTGCTCGATAAAGATCTTCTGGTACATTCAGTATGCCGCGCTAACAAAAGTGGACTACGGTATGTCGTACATGTACTTCTTGTTCACATATCTGTTGAAGCAATTTTTATGTACTTTTTACACCCTAAGTTTTCTAGCGATGATTATATGGAAGCATTGAAACACTTAAAAGCAGCGGAGATTCTCTTTTCCCGATACTCAAGCCTTTGGAACAAGTTGCGAACTTATAAGGTGTTTAAATTTTTTTAACGCCTAGCGAATCTAACATCACACAACCCCGCCATTGTTTTTCCAATTTTTGAGTACAGAGCGATGATGCTGTCGCCGAGCAACCTACAGAGTCTGATCTCTTGGAGTTTATTACATTACTTATTGAAGACGCTACTTCAAAAAGGTGCGTTGGTCTTGTACACTTTTCGGAAGGGTTTAACTCTGGTCTCAGTGCAGAGCAGAGCTTGTTGATGTGGTATTTTTTTTTACAGAGAAACTGTCGATCGAAACGTAATTTCTCGAGGGGTTCCTATATTTGGTGTGTTAGTATGTAATTATATTCCCATGAGACATTTTACTTACTTTCTGCTATAACATTTCAGGTGCTTCTACTAGTCCCCTTGGCAACGCAGTTCGGACCATGCTGGAAAGATACAGTATACCTGGAGGACTTCTACCTCCTCCGTATAGGTAAGTGAATGCCTTTCTAGTGATTCTATCTATTTCTGGGAAAGGGAAAAATGAGGTAGTATTATTAATAAAATACTGTTTGCACGTGGGGAATGGGTATGACGGAGTGGTTAGTGGCGTAATCCACAAGGAAGCAAGATGCCGACTTGACCCCCTCCACAACGCATTCCCCCAATTCGCCTGGGAATGCCTTAACTCGGTTATCTCCGTGGTTGCAAAAAGAACTGACGCGACCAGCATTCCACGACATTCATGAAGAAAACGAAATCCCCAAACAGCACCGGAAACAAAGCGCGAAATGTTCGACGTTCGTGGGTGTTGAGTGTCCGCATAAAAGGTGCGATGATGGGTTGCGCAATAATAAATAATAGCAATAGTTTAGGGCGTTCCCTCTTTTTCCACTGTCTAGCCGCCTATTTTATTCTTAGAGTGTCATACAACTAATGTAGAGGGAACCTTTTTGCACGACATTGTCTGCATTTCAAAAACACGTCTTTACTTTTGATTAACTTGGACCGTCTGGCGAGTAGTATTTAGTTGATGGTACTGGTCTTCCTGGTACAGAGATTAACGGATAGGGGCAGTGCTAGGTGATAGAGTGCGCGATAACTGACGCGTTAGGTAACAAATACAAGCCTACGTCATCATTTCGTGTTTGACGGGTTTGCTCTCCGTCAGTAATAAAGACATCAACACGTTTACAGCGATATGCATTAATTTCAGCGCGTACATGTGGATCGAGATTGGACAACATTTCTCCAGTCGTTTTTCTTCGACAAAATTTGTGATTTATTTGAGCACGATCTTTGTGTCTAGTCGACAGCTTACCCACCACATTTTTTGTGCCAGTCATTGGTCGTGAAAGCCTCTACGCATAGTAATTTACAGAAATGATCTGTCGGACAAGTGTTTATGGTTGAGCCTCGAGCATAGTTGGATCTTGACCTCGTTTATCGAAGTGTTTTTCTCATTCCCAACAGATCGTCCACGCGCTCACAAAACATATCCAGGGACCAAAGGGGAGAGGATTGCTTGCACAATTTTCCATCGGCCTGCGTCGTTGATGCCTTCGCGAAGAGAGCCGTATCATGTGTCATGAGCATCACGATAACGTACCGCTTATGTTTCTGCTTCCACACTATTGTACCGTTTCTACTGTGCAGAACGTTCAGTTGTGCTCGCCTCAGTTCCTGGTGGATAGCTTTTTATGGAGTCTTTTTCTACGCTTTTTGTATATACCAGTCAAATGAGTCGTCGTCTAGAGTAGACCTTCATGCAATAATATGCTTGTGTATGAATTATCATTGTATAAATGCCATGCTTTATTCAGCAAATCTTCCATGAGCCTCGTTTCGTTGTCAACCCAAGTGTAGGGTGGTCATTAGGTGTTTAAATTTCTCTCATGTAATTAATTAACTTTGATTCGGTAGGAAACTCGACTAAAAAATCTAATAGTTTTTCAACTTTGGCAATGTTATAACGACATTCTGAAAGCAAAGAGCGATAAGTTTCGGAATCCGCTTAAAAGTTGTTGGTTCGTATGACTCTCCGTCTACTATCAGTCTCTTTTGATGCCTTTTACAAGCGGATAGCTAATACCAGTCACAAATTAACGAACTAAAATTAAGTTAATGTGCCGAATTTTACTCAAGATTTGCTGCAAGATCGACTGTCAAGGACTAGCAATACTATGGTTGTTTGCTGAATGGATCTTCTTCATCACAGTTTTCAAAAACATGAAAGATACATTGATTAAAAAAATGGGGCATAAAGTGTAAAACTTTAAAACATGTAAAAGAAAAGATGCATGAAAAACCAGGTTATAGAGTGACGGACACAAAATAGAGGCGTAATCATGTACGAGGTGTACAACGGTTATACGGGACTAGGCTTCGTGGTGTTTCCAGTCCAATGTCCGACTCCTTAACGAGAATGGCAACTTAAATAAAACCATTAATGTATCAAAATTTTGTGCCAGGAAGCACTTTTTTGGCTATCTGACGGTGTTAAAGCGTTCAGCAAAGAAACTATTATAGAAGAGGTATAATGAGGAATCAGAGAGCTTTGGTTAAAAAGGAAATTAAGTGCAGAGAGCTTTTAGTCTTTTAAACTTACTTGGATACTTGGACGGCCCGTTCTCACTGGGTGCAAGCTCTAGCACAATCTAGATTTCTCGGAGTTTTGATGGTTTAGCCATTGTGTTTCTATGGAGTCCTGTGGTCAGCCTGGCCAAAGTCTGCTCCAGGTCGTCACCAACACAAGAAGTCGCAGCTCTTGTGGATCGGAGAGAGATTTACCACCATGCGACTAGTTTGAAACTAGGACAGTGGCGGATCTGGTATTGGTTTACTCTTAGCTGGGCTTCCTGATGTAAACGTCAGGCTCCGTCTCAGCTTGGGAGACTCTGCTAGGGAGATGAATCCCACCGCAGTACATCGCAGCCCAACATCCAGTAACAGCTACAAACCACAATGAGGCGGTAAGCCGTTGGGAAGTGTCTTTTAAACGGACGGTTGAAATGCCGATTTCCTCTATTTTCAGCTCGAATTTATGTACCAATGTTTAATAACGGATAAAGTTTTACCTTTTAGGAAGCAGTACATAATGAGATGGAGTGTGCCAAGGCCGTCTGCGAATAGTCGAGAACTACCTCAGCGGTTATTCGCATCAATTGAGCAGGACGAATTCCGACTCTGTGGTTCTTTTTTGGAGGACACTGTTTACACATAATATTCTAAATTCTGTAACTTCTTAACGTGGGATAAATTCATAAATTTAGCATGGGTAAACTGACAAGAATATATAGTATAAGAAATAAGGTTATCTGTGATATCTGACGAATCTTTTTTGTTTTATCGCTTGTAAAGAGCTTAATTGTTTAGTAAATGGAATTCTACTTCACTTGCCTGCATATAACCATCTATCAATACGTTTCCGCGAATAAAGTTACCGGAAACAAAATTGAAATCGATGGCACTTCACTGGGATGGTAGCTGGTAACATTCTGTATCTGGTTGGTAACTCATCCAACACAGTGGTGCGTGTGGCACAATTGTTGGAGGCGCACTCCAATACACACGAGATTGGTCCTCGCGCTGTCCACGCCTTCCATTCCCAGGGTGAGAAATTGATACCAGACTTGTCTGGGAGGATAACAGCACGGCTGCATACATCGGAAGGCCACCGCAAATCATTCTAAAGGCCAGATATGCATTCGATCACCTCCTACGATGCTTAGTGAAGTCTAATACATGGCGCTTCCCTCAGAGATTGATCCACGCCGAAAGCTTTATCTTTTTTTTTATCATCCAACACAGCTGTCGTGTCGGACATGGTGGATGGGAGATTTTCCTCTACGTTTCGTAAATTTCGAAAAACCGTTCTTCGCTAAAATGAGACATGTGAGAATGTTTAATTACACGGGACTACATATATTCATCGATGTGTACAGTGACATAACTGGAAACTTTTAAACCACTCATGTTCTCAAACTTCTCATTAATGTTACGAACGTTTTACGCAAAATACTTACTTGATACTTGAGTGGGCCGTCTTCAGTGGTTGTGCGGACCCAGAATAATCATTTTTTCGGAGATTTGCTGGTTAAGCCATTATGGTTCCCTGGAATCTCGAGTTTAGCATGGCCAAAGTCTGCCCTAGGTCTTCACCACCACGGACAGTCGCAGTTCTTGTGGATCAGGGAGAGAGATTTGCCATCATGCGACGAATTTGATACCAGGACGGTGGTGGACACTGCTATTAGTTTACCCTTAGCTGGGCTTCCTCATGGAATCGCCGGTCTCCTCGTCAGCTTGGGCGGCCTTACTGGTGTGTTAAATACCCCCACTGTACGTCGCAGCTCTACACCCAAGTACACCTCCTAGCCACGATAAAGTGGTAAACCGTTGGGAGAGGTCTTTGCAAACAGCTCAAATTCTGACTATTCGTAATTCTTACGGTTTTTGTCGTTGTGGATTTTATTGTAGCAACCTAAATGATAGCCTTTGTTGTATTGACAGCATATAGTGTTGATCCGCTTGAAACGTTTTGCAGCAGATTTAGGGCTCGTGGAATTTCGTTGACTCCTTACTACAACCAGAGGAACACCTATATTTTCTGGTTGTGGACTTTCTTCCAAGAGATGAACAATCGAGTACGAAGAAGCTGAAACGTGTGTGAAATTTCTACTTTCTTGTTAAGCAAACACGAGGTGTTACTTCATTCCGTATTCCGGTAAAGATGGCGCCTCGGCAGTGTCTTCCTCAGAGCCTGGAAGAGAATGTTGATATGCAATTTACTACACCAAACGCTTCGATAACACGAAGAGAAAGATGAAAATTTGAATTGTAATCACATGATCAACAGCTTCTCGGAAGGCTTACCGTTTCTACGTGGCTTCCACTGAGGAAGAACAGCTGATTAGAGTTACATTTGGTTGATGACTACACCACTCCACACAAAAATCGATGCGACGGTACGATACGAGATCACGTGTGTTCTCTGGGCATTCCTCCATATTATTCATTCTAGGATTCTTGGCTTCTATCCAAAATGCCCCAAGACTTTTGCGTGTTGGTGTTTAGGCATGCTGAGCAAACGTGGTGACGTTCATGTAAAAATCTCCTCCGCTATGCCTTTGTATCCTATGCGTCCCTGGTGGGGTACATTGTCTTACTTTTCATTTTCCACCTAGATTTTCTTTTATACGGATATGTAAAGGTTTGCCCGTTTCGCCAATATGTTCACCTCGGCAATTATTACAAGAGGCCAAGTATATCGTACCCGAACTCATGCAATCACCGTCTCTGACGTTAGTTCACTTTATGAAATTTAGCGTTGTACACAGACTGTCGTACAGGCAGTTGCTAACTATGTGGCGTCTTAGAGTTTTAGGCACTTATGTTTTGGGTTCACTTGCAAGGATAGTGACTTTTATTTCAAATCTTCTCAGTTATGTTTTCCTTCTGGTTGAGCAGTTGATTTGATGTTAGCTTATCGACGTTGATAAAGCTTCTAGGACGATTGGTCTTCGATTAAATCTCGCAAAAACGATGTTCATGAGTAACGGACTGGTTACATATGCCTCTTTTCACGCTCAACGGAGTAAATATCTCCGAATGCTGCAGTTATGTTTATCTAAGCCGGGAAATCGACATGATGAACGACTTAGCTCCAGAGTTGGACAAAAGGAAACGAGCGGTTTGGAAAGTTTTCAAGAGCGTTGAGGATATAATGAAGAGAACAAAGAACACCCGACTCCGTGCCCACCTTTTCGACTCATTGGTACTTCCTACCTTAACGTATACATCAGAAACCTGGTCGTTGCTTAAGCAGAATGCAAGATCATTCAGCTTTATTGAACGCGCAGTCGAAAGGACGATGCTAGTAGTATCCCGTTTCTTACAAGGAAGGGAAGGGATCCGAGGCTCCGACCTGCGTCAACGATCAAAAATCAAAACATCGTTCTGTACGCCAAACTAAAGTCGCAGATAACGTGGGCTGGACACAATGCGTATGAATGACAACTGATGGACAAGAGCCATTGGTGACTGGTTTCCTCGGGATGTTAAACGCACTGCAGGAAGACCACCCACTCGATGGTCAAACTTCTCCAGAAAAGCTCTAGAAGAAGGATATATTGCTCAACGAGTCCGTAGACGGACAGAACTCACTGGGCTACTCTTGCACGCGGCAGGGAAAAATGAAAGATTTACTCACTTGAGTCAACCGACGATCAGTGGGACAACAGGTGATGCAGGTGATGGTTCAGAAGATACAGTCAACTGTTGATTGTTTTCGTCAAGTTTTATGTAACGCTTATGTACGATTGGCCAGAAAAAGGTCTCTTTATAGAGTGTACAAGTTTGGATAGTACACAAATATTCCCTTATCTGAGAAGAAACTGAACCGCAAATAATGTACGGTATGACGGAATTGTCGTGTTGAAGCAGAAATATGGGAGAGACAGTATAATGATTTTCACAGTTGACGACGTGGCGACCTTTTCCTAAAAATCAACGTGACCTGAGGTTGTTGAAAGCTACTGGATAGATTGTTCTTTATTCACAAAAGCTGACGTTTCGATGTATCTAGCCCTATTCAAAACCTGGAAAGGTCAAGTTGAACGCAATCTAATCAGGCAAATGCCTCTATAACCTTAACAGAACAATCATGAAACCCAGATTTTAATCGACTGAGTATTTCATGTGGAAATCAACCGCACAGATTTCACATGGAGAGGTAATGAGCCTTTTCACGTTAAAATAGCAGTCTGAAGTAATGTGTTAGGTCACGCGTGGTAACGAGACATATCTCCCTGCGGTGTTTTCGGATTCATGGAACTTATTAGGAGTGCTCCAAGAGTTTTGCACGCACTCCTGTGAGAGCACGGAAACTTCAACTTCAAAATATAGTGGGTATAGATATACTCAATGTAAGAAATATAAAGCATATAAAATATACTCAGTTGAAAATTCGTAGAAAGCAGCGAATGTGCGAAGAAACTGTTTTGTTTTCAACGCAACTGAAATTTTGTTTTCGTTATTTTCTGTTCCGGTTACAGAGGTGTTTGATTGAGTAGATTGCAGTCAACCTGACCTTTCCAATGTCTGAAGAAAGCGAAATCCGCCGAAACGTCTGGTATTTTGTGATTAAAGAATAAAGCGACAATCTCGTGTTTGCTGCGGAGATAAGTAGAAAGTCGGGCCCGGGAATTACCGGTTACGTTTCACAAGGCACCTTTTAAAGTCTCTGTGTGTGGTGCACAAAAGTGCCGAATTCGATTTGTTCGCCTTCGCGTCATGGGTTCTTCATGACTGGATGTTTTCCCGATTTATGCTCTCATTTAGCACCATATCCGCCACAAGTTCTCGATGGAAGGGATTTCCCGTCAATGCATAAATTTTTGTCGTCGCTGTACACCGATTTCATTATCCACTGCAATGAGACTAAAAAGATTTGACAACACAGTGTTGCATTACCGAAGAGCTTTACCCATAGAGTATCATCTATCTAAACGATCGTGTTTGATGTCGACACCATGGTCCTCTTGCAGCCGCATGCCTAAATGTAATCTTTGTGATCTACTCGGTCAATTACGCCTACTGTTTCAGGCATCTGACTTGGCTTGCACAACAGCTATGGCTTATCCGAGGGTGGAGGCGTAGCAGGAGAACAGTTTACTATTGCCTTGTGAAACAATGGAGTTAATAACGTTTGATGTTTCGGCAGTCAGCTGTGTTGCATACGCACGCGGCTCCCCGCACCCTGCGTAGCCATGTGTCATCGAAGGCGGAGGCATACAATCACTCACCTTGCTCTCAATCGGTTAAAGGATAATAAAGTTCTTGGCGTTGATCAGTAACTGAGGAGTGGCCATTCATTCTACTTCACTAAGCATCTTTTGGAGGTGATTGAATGCAAATCTGGATTCTACAGTGACTCGCCGTGGTCTACCGATGTATCGAGCCAGTGCTGCTATCCTCCCAGACAAGTCTGATACCAATTTTCCAAACCCAAGGAAAGGAAGTGTTGGTTGGCCATGGGGGCAGGGATCGATCCCATGTGTGCGTTTCAGGGCGCCTTCAACCGCTGCGCCATATGCGCCCTCCCCATAGGTAGCGCGGATAATCCGCTTCTTGCAACACCATCCTTAGTTGTCATCCTTGACTACCACTTTTTCCTCAGCTATTCTCAGTCATCCTCGATCATCCTCAGATCAATGTACTTAG